AAAAAAACAATCTAGGCTACTCTAAAACTATTGCCCACAGAGGCAATAAGGAAAGGGGAAAAGAGGAGATTTTCATACATCCGGACCTCCACGTCTCATTCGGTACCTATACGTCCAAGTAAGGGACGGGGTACAGAATGCACTAACATAACAGTAACAAACATTATATACAGTTTTTAAAAGGATATATCCAGCCCTTAGTCCCTTCCCACCCCCCAAAACTTCAAACAACAACAACAAAAACACCCCAAAAAAAACCCCAAACTACTCTAAAATGATGCCCTACAGAGATAAAAAGGGAAAGGGAAAATAGGAGATTGCTCTACATCCAGAACGCCATGGTTCATTAGGAACCTACATGTCCGAGTGAAGGATTGGTGCCCAATGAAAACGATAATAACAAAGTACAAAGCATTTATCCCAATAACCACAAAAGAACCCGAAAACTAACCAAGTATTCTAACAGGCATTGCCCACTCAGGCAATATGAGAAGGGGAGAAGAGGGACTCTTACACATCCGGACCTCCAGGGGTCATTAGGTACTCTCCAGTCTGGATACCCAATGAAATAATACAACAGGCATATACAGTAAGTACACATCCCTGCCTGCCTTTCCCTGCTCCCACCCCACCCCCACCCCAAACCCACTCCAGCAACTACACTACTAGCCATTGCCCACATAGGCAACAAGGGAAGGGGACCAGAGGAGACTGTCATACATCCGACCTCTCTGTCATTGGGTACTTAAATGTCCTATGAGAAGGACATTGTACGAAATGAATAATACAAAGTGGTAGCAAATTTACTTATATACAGTAAGTACATACCCCATTCTCTTCTACACCACAATACAAAGCAAACTACTCTATCAGCTACTGTCCAAAGAGGCAATAAGGAAAAGAAAAAAATCTGTTATTCTCTGAACCTGTTTCATTAAGTGTATGATGCCATCCATGCAAAAGAACATTTATAAAATGAAAAATAAATAAGTGGCACAGCATTTATGTACACCTGAAAGAATGATACACACCTCCCCCAATACCTAAGCCTAGATCAAAACAACAGCAACAACTACTCCATTAGCCATTGTCCATGCAGGCAACAAGGAGAGGGGTAAACAGGACGTCTGTCCGGCTTCTGGATCTCCATGCTTCATTATCCATGAGGACGACAAAATATAAAATGAAACAACACCCACAAAATAGCAGCAAAAACATTTATACGCATTTTTAAAAGAACATACCCTGCTCACCTCTCAGTATCACCACCTCCTTCCAAAAAAGGAAACAAAAATCCACTCCAGAGCTGTTGCCCACACAGACAATATGGGAAGGTAGAGTGATTTTGACAGTCAATATTTCACTTTTCATCAGGACAAAATATACAAAATGAAAGTATATAAAAACACATCAAAACCACATATGTACATATTTAAAGTATATACCCCCCAAAAGCCACTAAAATAAATCAGTCAACACTATTCTACTAGCGATTGCCCATGCTGGCAATAAGGGAAAGGGAGAAGAGGAGATTTATCATACTTTTGGACCTCCACTTTTCATTTGGTACTTATTTGCCAATACAGAGAATGAAGCACACAATACAAGAATGCAAAAAACTGCAAAATTATATACATTATTTTTAAAAATACAAATGGGGCTGAGGGGAAGCTCTTTAAAAAGAGTTAAAAATACTAAAAACAAAGGCAAAGGGAAAAGAGCTACCTCGTAGCTAGGAAATTCAGGTCTTAGCCTACAAACTTAGCCCAGGAATTGCTATGCTTGGTGATGATACATCTCCTGAGATGCATAGGCCTTCCCTGCAGCCCCATGAAATGCAAAGGCATTATGTGAATGGTCAGCAATCTGACTGTCGATTATGGTTCCAGGTGCTTTAGTCTGAGCAGAATGTTTTTAAAACCAACTCGGTAACAGGCTATCAGCAATCCAACAAACTCAGTACTTAATTTTCATTTCTTATTGAACAATATTGAGAGAGCATTCTATTCTGTACCCAGTAAGACTGATGCAGCTCAACATCCTCTATGTACCCAGGGCTCTTCTGCCAGCTTTTTTGTTCCTACAATGGCCAAGTACAATAAAATGAAAACATGAATTGCAAAGAATATTAGAGTCAAGTGGAACCTGTGATAGCAAGAAAGTTCATGGACACTGAACCAATGGCAGGGGACACTTAAATTCACTTGAGGAGATAAATCAGTAAGATGGGAGAAGGCACAGGCTTATGGTAGAGGCTGACACTCCTTGCAGTTTAATACTTCCCAATCGCTTGATATTAACAGAACTGGGCTCCTTGGATTTCTACTTTCATAGCTTACGCTTTGTGTTCCAGATTTTCCATTCTATGTTTCCTAAGGATCAAAATGTGTCTTTGACATTACATTCAAGCAAACTGTCTCTCTGCAATGAATATAATACTTGTCAAACTAGTACATAATTGTATCATGGACCTATAGGCTTATATAAAAAACATACTGTGGCTAACTGCTGTGCTTCAGTCTATTTGACTTCCTAGAAAGTCATTGGCCAAGATAAAGTTTTTTTGGGAAAACTTCAAAAGCTACAATTATAAGTACTATACTACATGTTTTAGCTATTCCTTAACCTTATGTTCCTGATTTAGGCTACTTTTTAGATGTCTCATATAGATGGATTAGCACAACAATGAAAATTATGGAATTCTGTGGGAAAATTTGAGGTAAGACCCACTAAAACTGCAAATAGTCTGAGGTAGGCCCACAAACACAACTAAAAATAGGAATCCCGTTTCATGGGAATGAACGGCTTTTGAGTAAAGATAGCAATGGATTATGAGTTACCTCTTTCTTAGCTGAACTTTTGATGAGGTTTTACTTATAATAATAACACACACCCCCATATCACACACACTCTCATAGGAAAAAATGATATAATCCAGGAGAAGATCTTCCATAAGCAGTTAACACATGTACAGGAGCCATGAGAAGCTGGGCAGATAAAACTGAAGCAACTTAACTGAATTTGAGAAGTAGCAAAATTTAAACTCTGTATCAAAGTGGAATTTGGTATTATAACATGGTAAAAAAACAACTCAGCAACAACAAAAAAACTCAAAAGTTTAGTATTTTTTTCCACTCTAAAAATATAAAAACTCACTAACTTTCACTATCAACTAGATTATCATTCATTTACCCAAGCGGAATAAAAACCTACAATTACCCCAGTTTCAATAAGACATCTTTAGATGATGCTGTGATTCTCAGGATATAATGTTTTTTATTCTAAAACAGAGAGATAAATGTTTAGAAAAGACTAAATTGGGTGAAAACACACTAGGAATAAAGAAAGCTATATTTCAGCTTGCCAGCCTTTTAAATTTTGTTATATAAAAATATTTTAATAAAATAAAATATAGTTTTATACACAATCCCACATGTTTTCACTTTACACTTGCTGAATAAAAAAGGTGACCATTCCCATTGTCTGATTCTGTGGAGTGTTTTTAAGTGCTTGAAAATGGGTAATTATCCTTTTTTGTACAAATATGTTTTCAAACACAATATAAAGTACAAGAATTATTTGGAAGAAAGCTTTTCTCCTAAGAATCAAAGAAACACCATAATCTAAATATAAGTCTGCAGAGCTCACAAAATTCAAGTACAGTATTTCTCCTTTAGAAGGAGTAAAAATGCCTTATAGTTTTAGATCTTTCTTTCTTTCTTCCTTTCTTTCTTTCTTTCTTTTGACATTCCCTTTCATTTGCTAGTTTGGCCATGATAAAATAAAACTATAGTTTTTTAATTTAAAAAAAAAAGTACTGTATTTGATAGTGGGGAAATACTCAAAGCCCACCATATTCCATACGAATCAAGTTACTCCTTTCTCACATTCTCTCATTCCTTTAAGGTACTATGGTGAACTTCAAATAAAATTGTTTAATTTCTCCAAGGCCCTACTTTAAAATGTTTCCAATGTACAATGTGCTACTCTATCATATAAAATGAAAAATCCACCCATGGATATGATATAGAGAGAAAGTGTCTATAATTTATCATGCCAAAAGGCATCTAAAAACAAACTACATTTTTAGTAACAGAGATAAAGTAATGATAAAAGTCACCAGTATAACAAAATGTTTGTCATAACTGTGAAAATACTTATTTATAACATAAGGTATATCTGGGGCAGGGAGTGGTAAAGGTGTACAGATATGGAGAATATTGAAACTTATGAACAAAATAATTATAATTAAAGCTATCTTAGTTTGAAACATTTTCCTAAAAGATGAAAAAGAAAATGTTAAATATTGGGAAAATATAATCTTTTGGCCTTGTTATTTAGCTTTTTAATATAACAAAAATTTAAAAATTCTGTAGCACCTAGCTATTCTGCAGGGAAAAAAAATATAATAGTTATAGTAGATCTTATTTAAAAATTTTCCAGGAAATAAAGAATTAATCAAAACCCCAAATCAAAGTAGATCTGCACACCTGAGATCAGCTCTCTACATTTGCATGCTTCATCGACTTCACTGATTGCCATACTTTTTGAAGTGTTACCTCGTTCAATAACTCTATCAACAAGAAAAAACAAATGGCTCACAAACCAGCAGCCTACAATGATGGCTGATGGCTCCCATGGGAAGTCTTTCCTTGTTCACTGGGTCAGTACTTTATGGATACTGAGAAATAGAACAGAATTCCAAACAATTTTATTCCCCATTTGGGTATCTTCAAAGTATAAAAATTACTTGTTGTTTTTGTAGATGGTTGGCATATAAGTGAATATAATTTTGTAATAAATAACTACGTACTGCCCAAGGACATTTCAGAAAGACTGACGGGAAATACAGATGGACCCTGAGGGAGCTACAACTCCTAAGAGTGCAAACAACTCAGCAGCGATCCTTGGTTTCACCTTGGCTTTTGCAAAAGTTAACACACAGAACCCACGTTAACAAGCTCTCTGACGGGTGACAAAATGAGGTGCAGTTGTGCATGCTACAGCCACCACGTCAGAGTTTCAAGGTTCTTCTCCATCCACTGGATATTCAACTGAATGATTTCCAAAGCCTCCTGGACACAACGAAGCTGAAAGGTTGCCTCTGACTGACTTTCAAAGAATGCCCGGACCTGTAAGTTGCACACAGAAATATTTCAAAAGAAGAAAATAACAGTTAATCTCAGGTAACTCTGAATATCCTTTTCAAATAAACTTTCACTTAGTTATTGGCTGTGTTAATGTCTTGAAAGTAGAGACAATAAGTATTTTAATATCCAGAGTAGTTATATCAAATTACTAATCAAGTATGATTAAACTGAGGTAATTTTAAAAATGCGTTCTCCTTACTCCCATAAGGATGAGTTTTTCAAATTTAATATAGCCAAGTAATAGCAAGTGAGATAAAGTCTAAAGTTAGGCTTGGTGGTCAATTTTACCCTTCAAGTTGCATTCTTCACAACAATCTCATTACCACTTAGAAACTTGCATATACTGGTCTTAACTACAAAATTATTTGCGTCAATAAGATAAAGGAATATTATTGAGAATGGAATCAGAATTTTTCCTCACCAGAAATGTTTCTCATTGCTGTATATCCAGCCTTTAGACACAACCCAATGCAGAATCATTAGCATTGATGAAGGCAGAAGAGGGACAGGAACTGGCATGAAAAGCCACCATCTGACTTAAACTGAGCAGCCTCAAAGGAAAGGTATACCCCATCTCCGTTAGTAGCATTTTACACAACTAACCTCCGACAAATGTGCCTCCGTTGAAAACAGGTGAGTTGATCCGGCAACAATACTTTGTATGGTATAGGAACCCAGGTGGAACCTGAAGAAATACAAATACAAGAGCAAAAGAGCAAGAAATGAGGTAGCTGTTGGTAAGCTAAGCTTCCGATGGCAAAGGAAATGTTTTCCTAAGAGCCACGTATGCCAAAGCAGAGTCTCGCCCCTGTGCTGGGAACTGCAGCTCCAGAAGTTGGGAGAAGTCCTACATGCACTTACTGCCCGTGGGAAGGAAAGGTGCACACAAAAGGCAGGAGCTGGCATTACCAAATAAATTATTAATCCATTTGATTTATTAAAAAATCATAGCAAACATCCTGAAATGTAATATTATTGCTTTAACAGAAAAAAAAAAACCCTATTTGTGCTGTCTACCTGGATGTGACCTCTGAACTGATCCTTTGGCAATGAAGAGCCATTTTTCAACACACAAAACTAAACAGCTCTTCTGAGTTAGCCCGTGGCCATACTAAGCTAAGTGATCTGGGGCGGGCACGGCTAGGCTTGATTAGTATCCAAATGTGATTCACATTATGGAATGATGCTTACAAATGTGAAAATTTCTGAGTGTCTTGGTCAAATGTTACCGAAGCATTTTCCTCTCACAGCGAATCATAAGGCCTATGAACCAATACAATATTGGGAATAGTTTTCAAGTGCAGAGACTGAAAACACTAAAAGTTGTAATTCTGAGACACTTACTTCTGTACAAGCTTGTTCCAGTTCTCTTTGACAAAATCCCATGCCAGTAGGTGTCCAGGGAAATGCCGGCCCACTGTTCTTATGACAAATGACAGCTTTTGTGTTCGAATGGTATCTCCACTGAGGCTAGTTTTCATTAACCTGAAAAGCAAACAGGTTTAGCTTCCAAAATAATTATTCATGATGAAGTGATGACTGAACTTAGATTAGTGCTGGCCTCCTAATTAAAGCTCTGCAGCAATTCAAGGGATATCACTTTTGGGTTAGTTTAAGATTGATCAACAGACTGAAAACTTGTCATACTTCTTAAATGAAGAATTCACCAATGAGATAAACACTTCTGAGATAATACAGACTTCTTGATATAGTAAAGACATTTGAGAAATAAACCCTGGTATAATTTATAATTCTGAAGACTGATTTTTTTTTTTTCTGTTAAAAACCTTAACAGAAAAAAAAAGTGATTTTTAATATAAGGTATTACTCTTTAAAAACGGGGCTGTTTAAATAATTTGAAAATGAAGACACATTTCAGAATATATTCTTGATATTCATAGTTATTACTTATTAATATTTCATATGTACCAGATGTTTAAATTGCTGACACAACAATGCTTGAAAAAAGGCAATTATTACCTATACCCACTCTATAAGAAACTGAGGTTATGTAATTGCCCCAGTTACACTGCTAGTAAATACTGCAGCCTGGCACTTGAACACAAGCAGTTCTCATCTCCTGTGCTATGAAGTCTGTGTATATAGAGAAAACAACATTTCCCCAAAAATGCAGCAATACTTTTAATAGAAAGAAAACCCAAGAGCTCATCAAGCTGTGATGGGTTAAACAAATTATGATGGAGCCCTACTATGGAATAGTATGCATCCATGCAAACAAATGAAGTAGGCTTTATGAACTGACATGGCAAATCTCAGAGAAGATCATTGGCTGAAAGGACCATCACAAGACACTGGGGCTAGTATAAACTATGCTGACATATAAATATACAGGCCAGGATTGACACTGTTAGCAGAAAGTATAAGAATGGAAGGAACATATGAGAGAATCATATAAGAGATACTTTCATGTTTTATTCAATTTTCATAGATATTGTTTAAATACTTTATAATGGAAATTTATTAGTGTGTTTGTTTAAAACAAAAAATTATTACAATTTAGAACAAACTTTCCTCTGTTTGCTTGGATCAGAGGCTGGCTACTATGTTAAGGAAAATAATTATTTACAGCGCATCCTTTGGGAAATAGGTCTGGGCCGGCGCTGATGACATCTCTGAGACACTTAAGATTTATCTGAGTTCATTTATACAAGAGAAGCAGTGACACAGTAATTCCTCCCTCTGACCTTCCCAGCGCTGACCCTTAGATTCCGTGCTCCTCTCTGCCCCACCACTGCTGGCCCCTTGGTCAGGAGGCCCTGTTCACGGTCCTTCTTTTGCACGTGAAACTCCCATTTCCAGGTTTTGTTGGTCAATATTAGAAAGAAAATGTCTGGCAAATTCATATGAAAGTAGAGCCTATACTTTTTACATAATCCCTTTTTCTGTAGTGTTTGCATTTTCAAAATGACAGCTTGGACAGAGCAATGCCTTGACCAGAAAGAATGAAGCACTAACTATAGAATGAAGACAACATGCTAAGGGGACGAAGCCATGTTTAAGCAGAAAAGTAGGTGGGTGCTAGGATTCTGGGCAAAGCACCTTCTGCCCAGCTGTCCAGTTCCTGAGCTGAAAGCCAGCACATGGGGCTCCTTACCTCACTGACCAAGTCAGGTCTGGTCTGTGAGTGAAAGGGAGATCCCAGAGGAAATGAGGTCTCCACCCCTGCAGCACCATGCTTTCATACTTTTGGTTTCTACATATCATATTCCTTGGTTGGTTTCATACCAGTAAAGTTTTCGTGCATCCTCGGAGCTGGCAAGAGCTTCAAGTATTTTATTCTTCTCTGCTTCAGAGCCTATAGAGATATACTTGCTTAAGAGGAACGACCAGCCGCTCTGAGTTCTTGCTCCGACTTTGAACACAGCAGTCATGACATCAGTAGGTAGGCTGTAAGAGAGGTACTCAAATGTGAGAACAAAAACATCCTAAATTCAAAGGTAAGGAAATGACTAGTGGTGATGTGTTAGGTGTCAGAGCCGAGCAGTACAGAAGAGTCTTCACTGTACAACTAAGCAATAGTGAAGAAAATGGCTAATTTAGTGGCTGCTACTTTCCTAGTTGGTGGGATTAGAAGAAATATGACTTCAATTTAATACAATAACTATTTGCTGAGCATCCACAAAGAACCAAGCAGCTGAGTGGCTGGATAATGGAGAGGGGAAAAAGAGACACAGTCTCTGTCTCTAGGAACTCACAGGATATCACAAAGTACAGACCAAGAAATATATTTATTACAATACAGTGTGTTAAGTTCCATGGTAGAAATACAAAGCAAGGGATGAGAAAAGGGGAGGGAGCATAGTTTTCTGCCATTATTAAAATCTCTTTATCTGGTGCTTGAATTTTCTTCCATATGCCCAATAGGGAACTTAGAGAGAACCGATCATCATCAAACTATTTTTACTAATTGCTAACTCCACCTGCTATGTTTTATTCCTAAATTAAAAGAGAGTCTTTGACACCTCACACCCGTTAGGATGGTTGCTATAAAACACACACACACACACACAGAAAATAAGAAGTGTTGGTGAGGATGTGGAGAATTGGAAGAAACCCTTGTGCAGTTGGTGGGAATGTAAAATGGTGTAGCTGCTATGGAAAATAGTGTGTCAGTTTCTCAAAACATTAAAAATAGAACTACCAAATGATCCAGCAATCCTACTCTGGGTATATATTTGAAATAACTGAAAGCAGGGCTTGAAAGACATATATGTACATCCATGTTCATAGCAGCATTATTGGTTAAGAGCCAAAAGGTGAAAGCAAGCCAAATGTCTATTAGTGAATGAATGGATAAGTAAAATGTGATATATACATACAATGGATTGATTATTCAGCCTTAAAAAGGAGAAAATTCTTACATATGGATGAAGCTTGAGGACATTATGTTAAGTAAAACAAGCCAGTCACAGAAAGACATATAATGTATGATTTCACATAAATGAGGTATTTAGAGCAGTAAAAACTCAAAATAGAAAGTAGAATGGTCATTTCTAGGGGCTGGGGAAACGGCAAGAGGGTAGGGGAGACTCATTTGGGTAAGAAGTTTCAATTTTGCAAGATAAAGTTCTGGAGATTTGTTGCACAATGAGGGGAATAGGCTTATACTACCAAATTGTACATTTAAAATTTTTTAAGATAGTAAATTTTATGTTGTATGTAATTTACCACAATAAAAAAAGTCTTATTTGAGAACGTAAGTGCCTAGAGTTCACACACATTGACACTCAGCTTTATAACAGGTATGACCCAGGATGAAAAGATCCTGGTTTTAGTACATGATGTGAAGTAAAGAAGAGGCTGAGAGCTCATTTGAGTAAAAGCACACCTCACCTTTGAGTTCCATTGGATGCAACCCAATCGTCAAACAGCTTCGAGGCAGTAGTGCTGCAGTTCTCTAGGTCATGGACACAGGCAAACTCTAGCAAGGCTGACCGCAACTCTCGAGCAGATGGGGAGCCATCATCAGTCCAATTTTGCTGCTGAATTTGGCTTTGAAGCAATTTAGATACCCTGTTCTAAAGATACAAAATAGGTTACAATGGAGTAATAATAATTAGGACAACCAGGAAAATCAGGACAATTAGATCCCTTTTCCCCAACATTTACCCAAAGAGAAAAAGAGGGAGAGGGACAGAGATATTACTCATTAAATACCAACTGCCCAGAAATAGCTGAGATGAACCATTCAATGACAAAGTTTATACAAAAGGATGCTATAGCCAACAGGGACTTTTAATGACATAACACAGAAAGGATTCATGGCTTCCCTGCAGTAGGGAACCTTTCTTTAGAGTGTACTCAGCAAGAAGTTATTTTCCTGACCCAAAGTACCACTGTTAGAAGGAAGTTGGAACTTCCTGACCTTGTGACTTTAGAATTCATAAATCCAAAAAACAGTCAGAGAGAAAAATATAGTTCTTTACTGTTTAAAGGTTTCTAAATCTAATATTAAATAAATACTTCAAATATTGATGCTGTAACAGATTAATCTAATTAGTGAGAAAATGAGTACTATAGAAAAGTATAGTTGTTTATAGTTATCTTCTCCCTCAATATTTATAAAAATATTCTGAATCTACAGAAAAGCTACAAGAATAGTACAATGAACACCCATATGCTAGATTCACTGTTTTTTAATACTCTTACATTTGCTTTGTTTCTATGTGCATGTAACACACATACATTCATATATATTTTATGGTTTTAGCTGAACCATGAGAATAAGTTACAGATATCATGATATTTCATTTATAAATACTTCAGCATGCAACTCCCAGAAATAAGAACATTCTCTATTATCACTTTGAAAAAAATTCAGTTAATCAGTAATACTATCCACTATTTCAGTCCACTGTTAATAGTTTCTTCTAAATAAAATGTCATTCCTAAAAACATATTTACCAGAGACCCGGTGCATGAAATTTGTGCACAGGGGTGTGTGTCCCTCAGCCCAGCCTGTACCCTCTCCAATCTGGGACCCCTCCAGGGATGTCTGACTGCCCTCTCATAATCCAGGACTGTTGGCTCCCAACTGCTCACCTGCCTGCCTTCCTGATTGCCCCTAACCATTTCTGCCTGCTAGCCTGATCACCCCCTAACCACTCCCCTGCCAGCCTGTTTGTCCCTAACTGCCCTCCCCTACAGACCTGGTCCCTCCCAACTGCTCTCCCCTGCAGGCCTGGTCACCCCTAACTGCCCTCCCCTGCAGGCTTGATCATCCCCAAACTGCACTCCCTTGCAGGCCTGGTCCCTCCCAACTGCCCTTCCTTGCAGGTCTGGTCCTTCCCAACTGCCCTCCCCTGGTGGCCATCTTGTGGCGGCCATCTTGTGTCCACATGGGGGCAGCCATCTTGTGTCCACATGGGGGCAGCCATCTTGTGTGTTGGAGTGACAGTCAATCTGTATATTACTTTTATTAGATAGGATAGTATTAAGAAATCATATAGCTTTTATTCCTTTTTCATCTCTCCCCACAACAAAAGTATAAAAACTATTAATATTATATGGAAATATTTCAATGTTGCAAGCTGTGGTACATGGGGAGGGGTGAGGACACACGGGATTTTTAAAAATCATCATATAAAATATGCATGCATGAATGCTACTAAAAGAAACACAAATTTTAATATAAAATGCTTAGAGGTATTTTTTAGAAAACCCTCATGGCTGTAAATAAGAAGAAACAAACAAACAAATTTATAGCCATATCCTGCCCACAGGGTCTCAGGCAGGGGCAGTTCCTCCCACTGGTTCTTTTTTAACAGCATCACCCTTATCATATCTCATCTCAAGTAGTCAAGTACCACAGAAGACCAAATACAAAACTCTTAACCCCAGAAAAGTAGTTCAAGTTCTTTATAGAGCATTATATTTTTACAGAGTGCCACTGCCAATACTTAAAATGAATCCTAGGCAGAGACTTGTAAACTGCAAGGCCATTTTCACAGAAGACCTCTGAATAAATCTCTTGTGGAACTATGAGAATAGAAAAAAGAATTCGTGCAAAAAGAGGACTCAAAGTTTGTGATGATGTGATCACTTTCTATTGTTTGCTTGCTTCAAAAGCAATAAAAAGGAGAACAGACACCTGGTGGAATGCCTGAGTAAGCTTGTGAGTCACTGGGAGGATGTGAAGTGGAAAAATACTTGCTTTGCTGATTGATAATGCAAAGAACATAAAAGCGATGCAAACCCTCCTGGATATACATGACCACTTTGGTACATGCTGTCTTCACTGGCCTGACCTCAACAGCATCATGATAGCAAATAATCCCAAGTGACTGATGGAAAAAAAGAAATTTAAAAGCTACTCATAACTGTCAAATAAAAACAAAGAAGGGATGAGAAAAAAAAAAGTCACATGTTTGAAATACTATTCAGGTTCAGTGGAACCTGGCTGATGTGGCTCAGTGGTTGAGTATTGATCCATGAACCAGGAGGTCATGATTCGATTCCCCATCAGGGCACATGCTAGGGTTGCAGGCTCAATCCCCAGTAGGGGGCATGCAGGAGGCAGCCCTTCAATGATTAAAAGAAAACTTCAACAGAGAAAAATGCCAATGCTCCTTGAGAATTAACTAAAACGTAAAGAAGCCAGTACAAAAAAAATGCCATTGGAAAGGACTGAAGGCAAGAGGAGCCTGAACCTTGAATAGGCTAATCCCTGAGCAGTTACTCCATCAGAAACATGGCGAATTTTTACTAGTTATTCCCTGTATATCAAGAGGAATTACCAAAATAGTTTATTTAAAATATGTTTCAAATGATTACATAATAGAGTAAAAGTAAAATACCTTCTTTAAAAAAAAAAATAACTCCTTTTTAGAAAATTCCAGGTTATATTTTTAGTATTAACTAACCATAACAAGTGCTTTGAATTACCTTTGCCTCCCATAAATAAAATTAATACTATTTTTTTCCATGGTTCTAAATGAATTTTTGAAATTTAAACTCATTAAACATTAGAATCGAACCTGTGATTCCATAAAGTGAAAATGGCAAATGGGGAGAGGGAATGTAGATGATACACACAATTTAAGGAGTTAAACCTTTTGAATATTTTCCTCCTCTGACACTTAAGTAGGGTTATACAAACTACAAACATTGGACATGTAATAAAATGCAACAACAACATGAAATGATTAAAAAATAAAACAGAGATAGATGCTGGCTTTTATGCTATGTATTACATTTTGATTTACTGCTTTAATTTTACACTGATATGTCCAGGGAGTTCCTTCGTGGGTCAACTGAACTTCTTAAAAGTGAAGTGTCAGCTTTTATTGCAAAACGTTATCCCACCAATCCCTCATACATATCAGAATGACAGACTTATAAGTGATGAGACAGGATATAGCTAGGATCAGATAGTAACATCATATGTGAACAATCTAACACAATTCAAGTGTGCCTCCAGACCCTACCCACCACAGCACCACAGTATACATCACAAAATGTGATACATGGGCATGTGCTACATAGGTATACAACAAATAATGGAGCCTATACAACAAAATGACCAATAAATGTACATTCTGCTCTGGCAACAATGACATAAAAATTAGACACCAGTCACAATCATAAATATTACTGAAGATTGGCTCCAGAGACTCAGAAATGTCTGCCATTCCAATCTCCGACTACGGTGGCTCAGACTTCATATTTTGAGAGTTTTGATGCTACCAGAATGTCCAAAAATGAGAATAATAATTTTAAAGACACAGTTTCTCCCTTTTGATGAACTGAAACTAACCTTTTAAGTAACCATCAAGCTATGCAATCTCTAGCAGTAAAAGGGCCTGTGGTCTTCCAAACACATACTCAGCCTCCCGTCCTTGCCTTCTGGACCCCGCTTTGAAGTATGTTCTTAATAAACACATACTTCCCAGCAAACTGGAAGTCACCATCAGAAATGAAGATGCAGAGTTACTTGATTAAGAAAATATTCAAAAGGCTTAACTCCTTGAACTGTGTTTCCCATCTATAGTCTCAGCAAAGGGAAAGCTTGAGGTAAGTTACCCAATGTTTCTTGACACTGGGCCTCAACAGAGTTAAGGAGAGAGGCAGAGGAAGAGTAGCTACTGGGCAGCTTCAGAGTAGATAGCTATCCTGCCTTCTCTTAAGAATACATTCTGTACCAACACTGTTCTTTAATACTGAAAAGAAGTGAGTGACATATGCTAATACTGCTACTTATACTGGGTTGAACAGTATGCCCCCAAAACTCATGTCTGACTGAAACCTGTGACGGTGGCCTTATTTGGGACCAGGAGTTTTGCAGATGTAAATAAATTAAGATAAGGTCATACTGGATTATAGTGGGGCGCAAACCCAATGATGGGTGCCCTTGCAAGAGGAAATTCAGACAAAGAAACACAGGAAATATGCCATGTGAAGACAGAGGCAGAGATTGTAGTAATGCAATTACAACCTAAAGAATGCCAAGGATTGCTAGCAAGCCCTTGAAACTGAGAGAGACACACGGAATAGATTCTCCCTCAGAGAAACCAAACTTACCCTGATAACACCCTGATTTAAGGCTTCCAGAAATGTGAGATAATAAAGTTCTGTTGTTTTAAGACACCCAGTTTGTAATAATTTATTACGATGGCCCTGGGAAACTAATATATTACCCCAAATAGTGATGATTTGATATGGCACTAATAACCCCAAAGTAGTTATAGAAATCCTATAATAAAAAAATGGATACCATGAAGTACACTGGTGCTGGATCACTTAGATACCCATATTGAAAAGAAATTAATATTTATGTTTACTTCACACCATATATAAAAATCAATTCCAAATGGATCATAAATCTAAATATAAAGGTTACTATTAATATATGTGTTGATTAAAAAAAATAGATCCAGAACAAATCTTGAATTCTCATACACTGCTGATGGAGTGTTAAATTGGTGTAACTTTGAAAAACGATTTGGTAGTACAGTATTAACCATGCATATGTTTTGATTCAGCAATTCCATTTTCCAGACACATACCCCATAAAAACTCATCAAAGATGTGTATAAGAATATTCATAGCAACACTGTTTATAATAGCTCCAAACTCCAAACAACCCAAATGTCCATCTACAGTGGCTAAACTGGCTAACAAATGGCCAACTTCTTTAATAAGGTAACAGTAGAAAGAGACCAATAGTTAGCTGTATACTTCTTGGAAATGCACAACAATACTATAAAAAATACTGTTACTAACATTTTAGGTATAAAAGAAATCTCATATAGTAAGTTGACAATTTCATTTTCAAGGAAGTCACTAGATGTGGATCTATGATTTTAAACCTTAAACACATGGTCTCCAAGCTTTTCAACCTGTTTTAATTTAAAATCTCAGTTTAAAAAAGAACGATAGCAAAAAAAAAGAAAAAAGAAAAAAGCTTTGATCTTTCCCAACAAAAAGGTATCACTGGAATGATAACATTGTTAGACTACAAATTAGTTTAAAATATATAGCAACGTAAGGAAAAGAATAGGTTTTGAAGTAAAACCAATGTGGGATAGAATTTCAGCTTTATAATTGACTGTATAAGTGAGTTTGGGGAAGTGATTTAGTCTCCTCCTTTATCTCATGAAAGTAGAAATACCCATTTGGTGTTGTGTGAGGATCAAGCAAAGTAATCAACACTAAGTACTGAGCACAGTATACAGAATGTAATAAACATTGACATGTATTTGTTTCTGGAGTGACTCGCTCATTTATTCATTCCACATTTACTGAATGCTACTATGGGCTGAGGCACATTCCAGGAGCTGATTTTTATTAAGGCTGGTAATTAAAACCTTATGAAATAGGAGAATGATAAAAATCTACCAATTAGAAGAAACCTCACTTATGGGTAGGAATGGGGGTGGTTCCTTTGGGGTCAGATCAGAAACTTGTGAGGGACGGTGTTTTTTAAGCTGCATATGGCCCACCTGCCCTACATTCCCTTTCCCCACTGAGAATCATGCCTGTGGTAAGAACTCATCATAAGGGATGCATAGCAAAATGTGGCAGAAAGGAGTAAAAAAAAAAAAAAAATTAATCCAACCCCTTCCTTTTACCAGTGAAGACACCAAAACCCTAAAAGACTTGATCTAATTTTTGTTCCAATACTTTCTTCTTTTTCCTGAAAGTTGCCTTTTGCTTGGTCCCTGGAAAACCCAACTAGTTTACAAAGCAAACCCTGTGGTCAGAATGTGCTGATTCAGAAAATTGGATAAAACAAAGGATAAATCATTCCCTTCCAAGCTTTTAAAGACTCAGTCAACAGTTTTTAAAGACTCAGTCAACAGTTTAACACTGAAAGTGTCTAAAATAACAAATGTTAAGATCAGGCAACTGGTTTTTTTAAAAAAGGTAAAACAATCTCTAATACCAAGACTCCATTACTGCTTTGCAGAGAAACATATGCACCAGCATCCTCATCCATAAGAAAGGTATCAGAAGGGCTCTTAAACAATAATCCTAATGCAAACAACACAAAAATGACTGTCATTTAATATAGGCTACTAGGATATTAATGGGAGCACTGCTTTTCAAAAGGGTCCATATAAAGCATTTACTATATAAAAAATTGAATAGAAAAAGTTTCTTTTCATGTGACAGCAGTATGAGAAATCTCTGTTGAAATTCAAACAAAATCAAATCATGCTAAGCCTTTATCAACTATTCATGGTAAGCAATGACATTTTCATTAAAAATAAAGATTTCTTGGAAAGTAAAGAAAATGGAATTTCATTCCTTTTCAGCCTATTACTGCTGAATTAAAAGCAATCAACATTAAAAGCAATCAACAAAGAGAAGCTGGCAAAAAGGCAGACTCACCACCAGTCTTGAGGCCAGATTCATATATCCTAGTTTTTCAAGGAGGTTATAAATGAGGCCTGTCTGAAAGAGGGTTTCAGTGATGGGTGCAGTATGGGTCTCCTTCCCAAGATAATCAATCAAATCAAAGGCCTTCTGAAGAGGCACTTTGCCTAGCCTAAAGGGTAAAAGAACAGAAAGGCAGATGAACTGAACACATGCTGAGAAGTTTTATGGTCAAATGGTGTCTTAAAGACCTAAAATTTAAGCTTAGATTGTAATTCTGTAAAGTTAGACTAAATATGATTACCTTTGATTAAGTTCATGTGGGTGACCCAAAGTTAAAGACACATTTCAGAAAAAAATGATCAACAATTGCTCCGTTTTTATTCCATGTCACCTGTAAATTGCTACTACGTAACTCGGGAATTACATCTTAGAAGAGAAATGATTAAAAGTACTAATTTTATTTGTTTTTTAAATTTCTTATATTTACCAGGTAAGAACAGGCAGCATAAAGAGAATTTGAAAAAAAATACTTATATGGGAATTTATTTGTCAAACTTGTTAAAGGAAGGTCCACTATTAATTTATGCTGAGTACATCCTTAAAATCAACCATTTTATAGAAATCATAACAATGATGGCTGAGATAATATAATGTCATTTTATATTTATATTTATGTTAAAAATGAATAAATAGGAAGGTCAAGAGCAGTCAGGAGGAACACTTTTCAATATTCCTTGTGTTTCTAGACCCATTAACAACCTAAATTGGTAAGCTACCTATTCCGAAGGTTCTCTCTACACAAGATCTCTACCATTCTTGGCTTTGGAATTCCAGGAGCACACAAAGTGATGGAAGAGGCAAGTGGTACATAATGAGGAGGCTCCAGTTATCAGAGCTGCCCCTTAAACTAGTTAGTAAGCACTAAGCATCACACAAACCAAGTGCTGCTTGAAAAAAATCCTACAAATAAATAAAACAATGCCTGAGCTACATTAATTTATTCAGTAATAGGGTTCTGCTTGCTGGCATCTACATTCTTGAAATGTTATGTAAATCTTGTTACTTAACTGTTCAATATTTGTAGCAAATTTTCACTATAGATTATAAAGTCCTTAAAGGCAAGGACTATGCCTGGCATTTTCCAGTTCCTCCAAAATGACATACCAAACAGCCAATACATGATACATGCTAGCTCTTTTGAACTGTTTTTTTCTAAAATGTTCTTTTCCTCAATATCACTTGTTTAAAAAACAAACAAACAAAATAAAACCAAGCATACTCTACCCTGCAAGTTCAAAGATGTTGTTGATGAGGCTGGCTCGATCTTTGTCACTCAGAACATAAGGATTTATTTTCAACTGTTTTATTAGTGCATCCCAGTCATTATCTGCATAATGTACAATATAATAGCCAGTCATGTCTGTATTGACTTTGATCCACTGTACTTCTTCTGTAAGATTGATGACATCTAATACAGATCAAAAAATGAAAGAGAGAGCGAGAGAGTGAGAGAAAGAAGGGTAATGGGGCAAGAAAAAAATTAAACAAATGCTTTGTTTCAAAGTTGATATGGTATATTTTTATATTTAATTATCCTACTAAGAAACTAAGTCTCTGCCTTTTAATGCTGTTATTTTCACATTAACAAAGATTACTACTCACTCATTTAATAATCACTGGTATTTATTTAATGGTGAACAAGATACTTATGGGTACTTATGTCTCTACTCATAGATTTTACAGTTTACTGTAATGAGGTAGGTAGAATTCATATAAATGTTATTGATGGAAAAAGAAAATATGATATTTTATGGAAGTACACAGAAGAAATGCTTCACTTCCTATGGAAAGTTAGGAGATTTCCTGGAAGAAATGACAGCTAATTTGAGACTTCAAAATATATAGATGTTTAGCAAGGTAAAGAGTGTTCAAGACCCAGAGAGAAAGTATACATGGTGTCCATGCACTGAACTGGCTCCCAAGTTCATTGTGGCTAAAGGAGAGAAGCAGGGAGAAAGGAAAAATGCATGTGGGGTGGGGCAGCAGGGGAAGATCATGAGAGAACTGCATAAAATGTGTTCCATTGCAGCCTTTGTCTTTATGTTAGCAAAGGAAGAACAAATAAAGCAATTTTATAACATCATATAATTTAAATCTAGCAAAATAAACCTTAGGGAAAGATTAATGTCTCATCAGGCACAAATAAAATATAATAGAAAAGTGATTTGCATTTTTTGGGGGGGTCCAAATCATCACATATATAAATGCTGACAGAATTGTTAGAAATGTATATGGAATTGTTTTAATTAATTTATAATTAATAGGGAGGTACAAACTATACAACTATAAAAATGTATTACTAGAAAAGCTAATTACAAAATATATGTAATAAATTTTAAAATCCTTAAAAATACTAATCAAGAAATGTCCTTTAAAGTTGCAACAAGGACATGATTTTTAAAAAATATATATTTTATTGATTTTGTACAGAGAGGAAGGGAGAGAGATAGAGAGTTAGAAACATCAATGAGAGAGTCATCGATCAGCTGCCTCTTGCACACCCTCTACTGGAAATATGCCCACAACCAAGGTACATGCCCTTGACGGGAATCGAACCCAGGACCTTTCAGTCCCCAAGCCGACACTCTATCCATTGAGCCAAACCGGTTTCGGCAAGGACATGATTTTAATGTAATAGTTGAGGGTATGCTTCTAAGTGCTTTAAGGTTTACTATTTATTAGAATATGAATCATGCACAGGTGGGGTCTATCGTGTGTGGGGGGGGACCCTGGACAGTTGGCTGGCAGGCCCCACCCCTGATTGAGATGGGGAGGTTACTCAAGAGTGGGGCCGGCTGGGGGGAGGGGACGCTGGCCATTGGCCAGCTGGTTCTCTCCCCTTGTTGAACTACCAGTTAAACTCCTGGTAGAGAGGACAATTTGTATCTTAGCCTTTTATTATATAGAATATGCTCCATGAGCTAACTACTTTTTTCACTGCTAATCCTTCAGCATTGAGAACAGTCCTAGTACTCAAAAATACTTGGGTAGTTAATAGATGAATAAACAAAATAACTATGTCATGAAAAATCGTTCTAAAGCATCTAAAAAAGATTTGTAAATGTTTATGTATGTTTTATTCCACATTTTAAAATAAAGAATACTGATTTTTAAAGCTATAAGGGAGCCCAGCCCACCTGGCCAGTATGGCTCAATTGTTGTGTGTTGACCTATGAACCAGGAGATCATGGTTCGATTTTGGTCAGGGCCCATACTGGGTTGCAGGCTCAATCCCTAGTAGGGAGTGTGTAGGAGGCAGCCAATCAATAATTCTCTCTCATCATTGGTATTTCTCTCTCTCTCCCTTTTCCTCTCTCTCTAAAATAAAAATATATCTTTTAAAAATTCTAAGAGAAAGAGTAGAGAAATAAGAAAAATAATCTAAACTCAGATAATAATAGTACTTTGGGGTATATTTCCTGCCAAGATTTTTCCCATACACAATTTAATTAATGTAATATTCCATACTATGGACCTATATATATGCATTCATTTTTATACTTCATTTTTGTCTATCAGATTCCACACCCTGCCATTTTTTCATTGTCTTCCTATGCAGTATTCAAATATTTTCATAATAAATCTATTTCAAGACCTACTATAGTTTAGGAGTTTCCTATTTAGAAACAGGCTGTTTTAAAATTTTCATTATCATCATAATGCTATGTGAAAGTTTTTGCACTTATATTTTAGAAACACAATTAAATTCTTTAGTGTATGACATCTTAGGGTCTCTCAACTTCAAAAACATGAATTATTAAAATTTTTCAGATTCTCTTAATATTTTATTTATTTTAATTATACTGAAACTACAAAAGATGCTTAAGATGGAAAAAGACATTCTGATTTTCTCATAACATGACATATCTCAGAAAATGTATTTTTCATTTAAAAATTCCATACTAATTTCCGTTTTATTGCTGATATAACAGAAAAATCAATTATATTGTCTGTTCCTTTTTCTAGAGCAAAATGAAGTTGTAAGGAATAACTGTGATGGCAACAGTAGCTGCTCCAAGTTGAAGACATTTTTAACAAAACTATGACTAAAGAAATTAAATTTACCATTAGCTAATAAAAAATATCAACACTCACCAGCTCACCAAACACAATTTTTTACAGATCTTTTATCAAAAAAAGACCTTGGGAAGGAATGAAGAGCTCCAACTCTCCCTTTCTCTTAGGGAGGCAAGTAATGACAAGTATGGCACTTTTCTCACGGATGAGTACAAGAAAATATTGAGAATCTGGCTGATAAGCAAGCAACTTGCCGTGTTGTAAACCTAGCCAAGTCCAAATGAAATGACAGAAAGGAGAAATGCAGTTGGGAGTGTATTTGAAATTATTACTGTCATCTTGATGACAGAATATAAAGCAGTACAGCCAACAGCACAGAGAGGAGAGCTATCATTTTAAGAGCCAACATGCTAGTCTTTTTCAGGTCTTCTGAATGATCCAGAATAGAGATCCTTAAAACCATGGGTATCAAAAAATAATAGCTTTGCTCACAAGGGAGGTAACTACATCCTGTAGCTCAAATTTGGATGAGGCTACCCCCATATGTATTTAATTTATTATAATCATTAACAGATTAACAGTTCAATTTTCACAATCCATTGAGTAGTAAAAAAGAATGAGCAATTCCAATGTTAAATGGCAGAAGCCCAGATGAAGTAATCTAATATTGATTTTAAAAAGCCATGTCCATGAGTTATGGAAATCAACTACTGTTTTATAAAGAAACATTACAGAATAGAAACAAAAATCATGTTTTTACTAGAAAGTCACAAAATTTCCTGTGTAGTTTGTTCCAGAGGACTAGTGCAAGACATACGGTTGAATTGCATCCCCTCTTGTTCAAAAGCATTCCTTTCTGCAAAACTCCTTTCTTCTCCTTTATTTTATTAGCGGGAGTGGGGTGGAGGGCAAGAGTAGAGAAAGACACATGATAAATATCTTAATTCTATGACTTTCCTTCTTCTATTTTTCCAGTTGCCTCTCACTACAATGACATGTCTTTTAATTCCAGGGAAATATTTCTGGCAAAGTGAGATCCTTTTAGAAACATGAATGTTTCAAGTTAGATTCTATATAAAAATTTCCTATAGTTAAAGTGCTTAGAGGTCTGAGTGGGTTGAGACTGAGACAGAGACAGAATTGGGGGGGAGGAGAAGGAAGAAAAGGGAGAGGGAAACGCATTTTAGTATAATTTTCTCAATGTGTAGCTTAAAAAAAATAAAAGGCCCCTTTCAGACCTTTATATTTTTTATCCTCAACGGAGGACATGATTAGAGAGAGAGAGAGAAAAAAATCAATTTGAGAGAGAAACATTGATCAGTTGCCTTCTATACAGGATCTTTTTTTTTTTTTTTAATATATTTTATTGATTTTACACAGAGAGGAATTGAGAGGTACAGAGAGTTAGAAACGTCGATGAGAGAGAAACATCGACCAGCCGCCTCCTGCACACCCCCCACAGGGGATGTGCCCGCAACCAAGATACATGCCCTTGACCGGAATCGAACCTGGGACCTTGCAGTCCGCAGGCCGACGCTCTATCCACTGAGCCAAACCGGTCCCGGCATATACAGGATCTTGAACCTACAACCCAGGTATGTGTCCTGACCAGAATTCAAACTAGCAGCCCTTTGGTGCACAAGACAATACTTAACAGGAGCCATTCCGGCTGGGTCTTTTCAGGCCTTCTTCTGCACAACTATTAATGTTCAAAATTCATGTATGCAGGAAAAAGTGGAAAAATATTAACCAAATACAGTATAACTTCTATATTTGACTCAACTAATGGACTAACCCAACAACCCTGGAACCCATTTAACTATAATATAGATTTAACAAACTACCAAGATAGCACCCTGTACTAAAGTCATATGACATAAAATAAGCCTTTGTAGCCACCGCCTCAGCTACATTTCTTTTGAGAACAGAAAACATCGAAATAAGAGTGATTCTCACTGAAGTATCAGGAACCAAGAAGAGCCAACTATCCGTAGGGTTCAACGTTTTTTTGTGAGGATACAACATTTTCAATGTGGACCCTCAAAACGCAAACTGCCAGGGATGAAAACAGCAGCAGCAGAAAGGGAAATTACACCGCTGAGAAGAGGAGCCAACAGACACCACTTTCATCAAGTATTGGCTCTGTTACAGCGCAAGGTTAAATCAATTTTACTGTAGTGCATTTTGTACATTCTCCTTTACCAAGAGTGTTATAAAATTAAAGGAAACAGAAGATATAATTTCATTAGGCTTTGAATACTCTTTTCCTGGGACTTTTTATAGTGAGATTTGAAATTGAGTCACTTCACTATAGACAAGATTTATTCATTCAATAAATGTTATGTGCCAACTGGGAGCTAAGGTTGCAAAACTGATTCATATAGTCATATCTACCTGCAATAGGGGACATATCTAATATGGGGACAGATACACATGAAACAGTAAAGTATACAAGAGTAGAGAAATAGAGAATGTTATTACAGCACATAAGTAGGGCCTCTAACCTGTCTCAAGGTGGGGGAAGACTTTCCGGAGCGAGCAATAGGTGAACTGAGATTTGAAGAATGAACAGGAGTAAATCAAGGGAGTGGGGAGGCAAGAGTGTTCTTCCAGATGGCAAAACAGCAGAAACAAAGGCCATCCAGAGGCAAGAGGAAGAATGGCCTGTTTGAGTTGCTCAAACAATTTTTAGGTGGTGGAAACTTCTAATACCACCCAAAAACTTACAGATTTCCAGGACATTTGCAAAACATCCTTATTAGTCCCTTTCAAACAGGGAAATGAGATTATTTCTTCTCTCTTAGGTAGAGACTATCCTTGCAGGGTTCACTTAAAGTACGCAGATTTGTTTTTATTTCATTTGTTTTCTGGCTGGTGTTGCTAAGTGGTTAGTGCCTACCTGTACACAGAAGGCTCCAGATTTTATTCCAGTCAAGGACATATACCTGGGTTGCGGGTTTGTTCCCTGGCCACAGTTAGGGCGGATGTGGGAGACAACCAATTGATGTGTCTCTCTCACATCAATGTTCCTCTTCTCTCCCCTCCCCCACTCCTTTCCACTCTATTTAAAAGCAATGGAAAAATAGTCTTGGGTGAGGATTAACAAACAAAAAAAAAGAAGGCAGCACTTGCAGTTCCAGCTAAGCTATATTAATAAAAAATATGATGGTATCATCAACTGCTCTTAGGGGTTGAAATACTGAGATTGTTGTTTTAACACTTTATTCCAGTTAACTGCAATGCAACTGGCATGCTTATATATTTCAATCGGCATAAATTATTACCACACAATAGAAGGGCAACTTAGAAATATGTATTAAGTCACAAAGATAAGAGTCTTCATTCTGAGAAGCATTCCTATGAAGAAGTTCAAATAATGAAAAAACATTTAAGAGCCCAATTTTTATTAAGGCTTCACGTGCCCTCACCCCACCCCCTATAGAGACAAGTGGTGAATCAAGTGTCCAATAGTAAAGAAAGATTAAGTCAATTACTATACATATTAAGCTTAACAAATTTTAAAAATCATATGTACACAATGACATCAACTAAGTAAAATATACTTTTAAATGACTAGATAGAAATAACATGAGAGTAGTTATGATAGGTGAGATTTGTTTTCTTTTTCTAGATTTTCTATAATGTGGCTATATTATGTTTAAAGTATTTTTTTTTTCAGTAATAACATCAATAATAATATCCAACACTTATATAGCACAAAACATATGCCAGTTGTTGTTCTGGGTGTTTCATAAACTTGAACTCAATTAATCCTCATCATAATACTATAAAATAAATATAATTACTAGCTCCATTCCAGAGCTGAGGGCATGAGGTTCAGAGAGGTCATATAGTTTGCCTAAAATCATACAACTGAGCCAGGCAATCTGGATCCAAAGTCTGTTCTCTTAACCACTAGGCTACCCTGCACTCTAAAAAATATGGGATTACACACCAAATCCAAATTCAAATAACAAATTTTCCCTTTATATAAATCTAGAGTATCACTAATGGTTCCTGCAGAACCCAGAAGCCACATATTCTTTCAGGGTGTAAATTAAGAGGATACAGGGTATGGCAGGATACATAGAGGTAGTTAACAGATGGTCAGAAACTACATTTTAATTGCTTTTTATAGACTTGTTGTGGGTCAACATATATAATCTTTACATTACCTATTTCCTTGCAATCATAATATTTTGCTCCATTTTCCATTACCAAAAATATATACTATGTCTATGAGGCATTTTATAATAATTATTTTCTATAAATGTAGGTCATCAATCAACCTTTAATATGCATAAGCATCATCTAGGGTGCTTGTCCCTAGATAGCAGACAGCAGACATACTTTAAAAAAACTGCTGTACTTCTTACTTTGTGACATAAAATATCTACCTAGGATATAAAGATATAGCATTTGGTATTTTCTACCAGGACTGCTAGCACTTTCTGTGCAATTTTTTATGCTTTATGTTACATGACTAAGACAAACCAATTTTATACATGATAGATACATAGACCCAATCTCACTTTAGTCCATATCATGTATAGGTGACTCATAAAACCAGCTTGGAGATTGTATACCCTGGAAAGTGTAAACTTCTTTCTGTTGCCTGGTCAGATATTTAAAAAATATGCTGCTTCTAACTTCTTATATGGAAAGTGTTAATTAAGTCAAACCTGATTTCTTGTCCAGAAATGACACCATTTGATGTTTTGAATAATTTCTTCCCTCAGTGACAAAGGATAGTGGAATATGCCACAGATAGCTATAAAAAGAAAATATTGAAAGATTATTATACTTTCCAATATTTCAGCCAGTTATACATAATTTGTCTATTTTTGCTTTATTGTTTTTTGGGGGGCAGGAAAATGAAAATTTTAAGATATTTCCAGAAAGGGGTAAACTTGTTAGATGTTTTATAAGAACCTATGGCTCTGGCCAATGTTGCTAAGTGGTTAGAGTGCCGGCATGCACACAAAGGGTCTCTGACTTGATTCCCAGTTAAGGGCACATACTTGGGTTCCAAGTTCGATCCCTGGACCTGATTGGGGCTCCCATGGGAGGCAACCAATTGATATGTCTCTCTCACAACCATCTCTCTCTCCCTCACTCCCTCTCTAAAAAGCAATGGGAAATGTATCCTCGGGTAAGGATTACAAAAATATATATGAACCTATGATTACAAAACATTTAAAAATAGTTTAATCCGAGGGTCCAAAGAGATGGTAGGGAGAGAGAGTAGGCTTGTACCTTGCATCTGAAGGCTGAATTCCAGGCTTCATGTTTAAAAAGAATCTTTCTTGTTGTACAAGAAGCTCCTTTCCCTTTCTTTGCACAGTCACTAGAGGAAATCCTTTCTGCAGGGTCCAGGTTTTCATCATTTTCTTGACATCTACTGTTTTATTTGTGACCTACAAATAAATTATTTTTGCTTAAAATTAAACAGTTTAAAAGCTTAACAGTTTGTATCTTTTCCTCTTCCTGTACCACATTCTAAGAAGACTGCATTTACTAGTAGGGTTAATAAAAAGCAGTGCAAATGCTGAGCTAATTTACATTTTTCAGATACGTAAATGAGTAATTGCTAAAAGGAAAGTGACCTGGAACAGAACTGAGTGATAACTAAAGAGCATGAGAGAGGCACAATGTTGAAAAAGCAGCAGATAGTATCAACCAAGTTCATTAAAATCCCTAAAGCGGTATAAACACTCTTTCAAGCCACAAGACTAGCATTGAAGGAGGTTGAAAAACTGCAAAAACATAAGAATAAAAAAAAATATTTTTGAAGAAAATATAGCAATATACATTATTTTGAAAAAACAACAACTTTCCTACAAAGTAGGAATGGAGATTAAGATGTAGAACAAAAATGGTTGCATAAGGCCACACACAATTTTTCAGTAATTAAGACTAGTACTTCCATTTCTTTCCAATTCTGCCTTCTATTAATGTTTATTTCTTAAGCTCTATCTCCCTTTTTTTCAAATAACTATCTTTGTTATCACAGCTTATATACTTGATAAAAAAATAAGAGAACTCTTCTTACTTCAAGTGCCAAAGAGAACACCTAGGTCAGCCACTTACCTCATTAAAACTATCCCACAGATCATCACTTTGAATGGATCCATAGCTATGCTTTTGCAGGTAAAGAACAAGAGCACGTTGAAATATATCTTCGCCAAGATATGTTTTCAGCATCAACAAGAGAGAAGCTCCCTATTCAAAAAGAAAGAAGAAAAAAGGTACAAAGGGAGGAAAATAGTAGAATACATTATATATATATATATATATATATATATATATATATATATATATTTTTTTTTTTTTTATAGAGAATTGAGAATCTAAAATTCAAAATATAGTCAATCTAAGCATATACTTCCATATATAGAGCCTAGTTATGACACAATGCTACTTGGTCTCATATAATGACATGTGGACTATGTTCAAATTGTCTTTAAATTATTTTAAAGGACTTGAAAAGAATTAATGGAGTAGATTCCCATGTGCATTAATTCTACTATGAGCCATTTTGTGTGGTCTGTCAATTACTCACTGTTTGTGTTAATGTTAACAAACTAAGCAATTATAAATATATTTTTAATAGAAAAACATGCCAAATATTCTGTGGCATCCCCACTTTTATTCCCAATGTTTAAGGCACCAATTCAATTCATGGGCACACGACTGTGGACAATAAATTAAAGAGCTCTCAGAAGTCTCTCTGCTGGGACTACATTAATTTCCAATGTTGGTATATCATGTCACTAAAGTAAGATCTCTCTTTTTCCTAAAGTATCATTTCCAATGTGTTTGGAACTGATGAATGTATAGGGTAGTAAGTATACACTAATAATCCAAAATTAGGCATGCACATATTAAGGTCACACTATAGTCACTGATGTACACGTCAACTCACACTCTTAAAATAACTATCTCCTCCTTGGTGAAGCCTCCAATTTAAGATAAAAATCATATTTCTCTATCTTCAAAAGCAACTTATATCATTTCATGCATCTGCTATAGATATTGTTATCTTTTCTTGTAGTATGTGTGCTTGTTGAGGGGAAAACTGAAAAATTCAACTCCAATGAAATAATAAAATGCCTAGTACACAGTAAGCATTCAAATGGTTTTTGAATGAGTTTCATTTCTGATAAAAATGTAGCTATGTCAAGTCATTAAGATTACCAAATTACACATTAACCAAATTTAATACCTATTGCTCTCTCTGGTGTTACTTGTTCTATAAATTTAAGTACCCACTCTTTTTAAACATTTCCCCTTCTCTCTTATATCACCTACTTTCCCCCTCTCTCTACTGTAACTTTCCCATTAAAAATACAGAATTTGTAACTTTCCTCATTTTAAATAAAGATGTCTTTCCTTTCCTTAACATCAGGTCTCCTCTAGTTACCACCCATTTCTTGTTCTCACTTTGCAGTAAATTCCTCAGAAGAGTTGCCTGCATTTGCCATCTCCATTTGTTCTCTTCCCATTTTCTCTTGAGCCATCTTCCAAACATCACTCCACTGGAAATATTTTATCAAGGTTTCTTCAAGGTGAACTTCATGGTGTCAAACCAACATCAATTCCAAGGTTCAACTTATCAAACACTAGTAAGTAGCTTTTGCTATGATTAATCCACCACTCCTCCTGATGGCCTTCTGTACTTGGCCTTGGGACACCACTCTAGATTCTCCACTTATTCATTGGCTAAATCTCAGTCTCTTTTGCAGGTTCCTCCTCACTTCCCCAAGGACTAAACTTTGATGTTCTCTGGCATTTAATCTTCAGACCTCTTTTCTTCTCTCTATCTAAATTTTCTTCCAGATCTTAAATTTATATAGCTAACCAGACATCCCCTCTGAATTCCAGACTCAGACCCAACTGCCTGCTCCATATCTCAAAAACTGAACTTTTAATTTTCTTCTTGTCCAAAATCTACTCCTCCAATAGTTTTCCCCAATGCAGCAAATAATAATTCCATTTCTCCAGTTGTTCAGGCAAAATCTTGAAGTCATCCTTGATGCCTCACTTATATTCCACATGTAATCCATTAGCAAATTCTATGGGATTGACCTTTACAATACATTCCATTTTCCTCTAAAAAATTTATCTTCATAATCACAGGCAAAAGTACTCTACCATTCCTTTAGCACATATTATCTCTTATTGCTTCACAAGTAGCCACCACTTAAACTTTGAGTTTCTTGATGACATTGACTTGGAGGGACAGATCAAACAAGTCTTCTGTTGGGGATGGTGCCCACAATTCCTGCAGGAGGGGGGCAAACACACCCTTTCCTCCCACTCTGCAGGCACATGACCCAGTGCCCCAGAGTCCCAGGTAAGAGCTTTGATTGGAGACAGACTCCAAAGGTCCCAGCTCTGAGCAGCACTCCCTTTCCTGTCTGTCCATGGAACTAAGCTCAGCCAGGCAGGACCACCAGGACCTGGGAGGACAGATCAAAAGAGTCTCCTGTTGGGAGTGGTGGCAGCTGAGGCTACAAGAGCGGGGGCAAGACCAGCCCCTGTTCCAAAGCCACGTGGCTCAATGACTGGCAGCTGCTTCTCCAGAAAAAAAGAGCACATCAACAAGGGTTGCATGCAGCCAACATACCTCTCATCAGGACTCAAGCTTGGTAGGGAGGTGTCGCTGGTTGTTGGAAGTCTGGGTTAGTGCACTCCACAGGCTGGTGCTGGAGGAACAGGGGTGCTTGGCCCTGGGAAGATGGTGCCAGAATGCAGTATGGGACAGGGACCTCAGTGGCTAGACCTCCCAGATCTCTCCTCAGGGCCATGCCACCAGATCTTCTCTTTATGGTTCTCATTGCCCTGAATCGTTTTCTCTACTGAAGTCCCAGGTGAGTGTCTAAAAGCAAGATCCTGGGTGTTGACTTTAAAAGAGCACCAGGATTTCAAAATATGTGCTCCTCTTCTGGGCAGACAGGGCCCACTAATTCGCACTTGCCAGATGCTATGCAGGCTTCTCTTTTCAGCTCGGAAGCTCTGGGCTAGGGATCCCGGCATGGGACTGAGGCCCCACACTCTTCAGGGGGACGTTTGCAGCCAAGATATCCCTGCGTCTTCTCAGCTGCAGCATCTCCTCAGCTGCAGCACCTCCTTTTCTTACCAATCTTCTTCTGTACATCTTTAGTTATAGTATACCTATTCAGCTGTTCTTCAGGTGGTTATTCAGGTTGACTGCTCTACAATTTACCTATAAATCTGGTCTACAATTTACCTATAAATCTGAAGGAGGTGAGAGTAGCTTCCACTTACTCAGTAGACATCTTAGAATCTCCTGAACTTCAATTCTTTTAATATCTGTTTGTTTACTTGTTTCGGAAATTCTGACTTTGGAATATACCTCAATCCTGAATCACACATCCAAAGGCTTGCTTAGAACCCTCCCTGAACATATTCTACCTACAGATCTAAAGAATAAACCAACTTTAAAAGATATATTTCTATAAGATCTAGTTAAATGCCCAGAATACTAGTCAGAGAACTTAAATGAGACAGAGGAAAAAAAAGAATAACCAGAAAAAGTTAAGTCCAAAATTTAAATAGAAGCAAACATCTTAAATTTTAACAGGATACCTGAAAATAATACTAATTTAATTTTTATAACAATCAAAGCCATGTAACTTGTTCACATAGGAAATTAACTTGAAAACTACTCCAGGTACTAATGTGCATAGCAATACCTTAAAATAGGAAAGAGCATCAAACATTTCTTCAATCTGTTCTGAAGACTGAACAGATGATGATATTGGATGAGATGAATTCAAGGAATCTTTCCTCATGGTTTTAAATCGAGCATCTAAGAAATCTTCATACTAGTGAAAAATGAGACAGGTTAGAAAATTATGAACAGTATCAAAGGCAAAGGCATGCATAGCAATTATTTATATAAATTAGACTACTGCTTAAGGACATTATTAAAAAATAACCAGATTTACTCAACTTCAGAACATAAGCTTTTGCAAAATATAGGAAGTGTGATATTCATGCATATTCCTTAAATTTAAAAATAAAATTATAATCTCCTGGCCACATGAAAAACAGTGTTTCCTAAGCAACAATATAAGGATGAATTAAGATTCTATTACTAACGCAACAAAATGCCAAATCTTGATATTCAAGATGAATAGTATAAAAAGTTTAGTATATATTTTTAAAATAAAATCTAAAATTAAAAAAATAAAAATTTAAAATTAAAAAATAAAAAGTCATCCTTAAGCCGATTTATTATATACAGTCCAGCTTTTCTGTTAAGGTAATATATTTCCTTTAACTGGGGTTCATTTGAAATAAAATATAACTCTTAAACAGAAAGAATTCTTTGAGATCTCAAGAGATGAGCTTCCCTAGAATATATATATATTAGAAGCTTTTAAACATTCTGGGCACCACCAAGTGGTGAAACTGTGAATCTTGCTGCTTAATTAAGGACCATACACAGATTTAAAGTATCTTGTTGAGTCTCCTAACTAAAGAGGAGTTCATTCTGCGCCATTTGAAATTTTTGAATAGGTCCTACACAAAAATTTCACATAGAAAGCTCTAAGAATATTCCTGTTTTAAAGAAGTCTTGGGTCATATAGCCAGAAGTTTAATAGAAAGTCACAGAATTTTAGGGTTGAACTAGATCTTTATAATACTTTCTCACCTATTGCTTGAATTATTTGGCAATAACTGTCATATCATAGCCTAGTGTGTCCAAATATTTCTAAGGACGGGAAACATCTCCAGAGAGTCTAATAAAATGGAGGCATTATTATGCTCTTTATAACAAAATAGTGTTCCAAGTCTTTGAAAAGGAACAGAATATGGTTTGTATCTAAAAAGGGAAAATTATTTTTTGTATCAACTATGTATCACTGTTATAAGTATGATAGCAGTGATAACAGACAGTATTGCTACAAAATATCTTAATTTTTTCTTTCTTTATGCACAGGATAAATGTTTTGTTTTTGCAAATAAGGCCTTTCAATTATATCTAAATTCCTTCAAACAGAAGAATCACAACTTTTGAAAATAAAATGTAGCAAATCAATTTCAAAGATTTATCCTAATAACAAAATATAAAATAATTTCACATACTTTCAGCTTTCAATGAAATATGTCAGTAAATAAAAGCATAATTTTCATTGTCAGATCTCAAGAGGTACAGATACAAGTAACAGAGGCCAATTTTATTGTTTCTTTCTAGAAATAGTTTCATTTCTGCAAATGCATAGAAAATACATTGCGAATATAATTTGAGTTTTTCCTCCCTTAGCACTCATAGTAGGCAAAAAACAAAAAACAAAACAACAAAAAAACACTATACTTACACTGGAGAGCTCTTTGAATATTTTTTCCAAAGAGAAATACTCCATGAAGGTAGCCAAACCTTCATTTAGCCATAGATCGTTCCACCACTGCATCGTTACCAGATTACCAAACCACTAGGGGGGAAAACAAATTACTAACCAACACAACTGTTACATTCTCAAGAATGTTCTAATAATTGAATTGTTAGGTTTATCACCTGTAACTAGATTATAATTACATAAAATTAGTCATTATAGTTAAATAAACTATATTCAAATTAAAGACTTACAAAGGTTGTGTAAGTAAAATAAAATTTTTAACATTTTACCTTAATTGAATGAGAAAACAAGCAAGACATGCAATTAACATATTTTTCAATTTAACACATGTTCAATATTAGGTTAAAAAAAAGCAAACAGTTTTTAGACACCTCATTAAAAATGAGATTTCCTACATAATGAAATTCTTCTAATCTCTAATATCAAGTTAGTAAGATTCTTTTTTGTTGTATCTACAACCATACATGACAACTAAAAAGTAAATTTCTGTGTGACAATTTCCTGTATTTAGAGAGTCCATACTTCACATTTCTCCTCAGTTACCCAAGTTGAGGACAGTATTTACATGATTCAAAACAGAATTCAAACAATATTCCTCAGGCAAGTTGGTATGCATATAAAGAAATGAAATCAGAAAGATCTTAAATGTGTTCTTCTATGAGGAAGTAAAAAGGAAAAAATTAAAGAAGACTCTGTGAAAAAAATGTCTCAAAAAATTCCTGAAATAAAGTGTGGTGATAGTCAGTGTGGCCTAGGGCTTGATTTAAACCAGCAGTAAGACAAAAAGTTTACTAGATACTGAAACAAAACACTTTTGAATTATCAGAATGTGTATTTCAAAGATATCTTAACACAAGTTTCAAACAAAGATGATTTGTAAGTCCTAAAGACGAAGAACAGAGAAATACCCCTTAGTAGTGGTGGGAGGTCCCAGAAATAACAGATGTAGAGGAAAGCCCCTAGAAGACCCCTTGTCTACAGGCCTAACACTCTAACAGTAAGTATACGCTTCCTACTCTGCTTGTTATGAAGTCTTCAGAAGGGCTACACAGTCTCAGGCTGAGGTTGAGACAGGGAGTAAACAGCCCAGGGCATGTTCTCCTCTTCTTCCATATCCTCCCACATCATAACACTCCTAAAGAATACTCAACACCGATAAGCACCTCATCAAGGATACAAGAGAGACAGGTGAGGGGAAGACAGAGGGAGGTTCATGTACCCGTATAATTTTCTTTCATTTTCTCCATGGCATACAAAGAGTGCCCTTCCTCTTTCAAATTAATAAACACACACACACACACACACACACACACACACACACACACACACACAAAAACAACACAAAAAACAGTTCTTAGCAGGAGAGAAAAAAATAAACATAGTGATGACAACTATAGTTCAAGTGTTGTGAGAGTGCAACTTTGGAAAAAGATTTTTCCCCACAAAGCTATACTGAACAGCTGGCATTTGTCAGTGGCAAACAGCTGTGTGTTATGGGGAGAAGAGAGAGAGAGCTTGAAGAGATAGTGCTTCTTTAGGACCCAGTGCTGCCACTCATTAGTTGTGTGACTGAGCATATCTGTAAATAGGATTTTCACCTGCCCTACAGCAGTTATGAAAAGTGAGATCATACAATTGACCATGTTTTATAAACTGTAAAGTCCTATACAAATATTAGATGGCATTTTCATCTGAAATTGTGTGTTCAAAAGCATCATTTTATTATGAAAGCAATATTACAATAAACAACTAAATTATTATTAGCCTCTAAACTATTCCAACACTATGGATATGGAGTAGACCACAGGTATGGGATAAAACAGCCTTGGATGCTAATACCTGATGGGCCAGCTCATGAGCGATGACCTTAGTAACGAGCTTTCTGTCGGCTGCTGAAGAAGTATTATTGTCATACAGAAGTGTCTCTTCTCGGAAGGTGAGCAGTCCCCAATTTTCCATTGCTCCTGCTTCAAAGTCAGGAATAGCCACCAAATCTGTATGTAACAGGAGAAAAGTAATCAACTTTCCCTCATTTAAGGTACTTCCTGGTTAAATCAAAATAGTTCACCCACTGTTTTATCCCTGGAGGCAGAGTTCATTTTATACTCCTAACAAATGACACCTTCCTTACTCTAGCCCTATATGCTCCTCACCACTAGGTCAGCAGATGAAAACCTGATAAAACCCCTGCAGAGTCACTGTTCCTCTGCTCCTTAGCAAAAGAGATACCTAATTCCTTCACAATGGGCAGGGCCAACTCTCTTCTACCCAAAACCAGCTCCATGCTGAAGAACACTGAAATGCTCTTGCTTTCCAGAGTTTCCATTACTCAATTTTAGAAAATATGTTTTTATTGATTTCTGAGGAAGGGAGAGGGAGAGAGAGATAGAAACATCAATAATGAGAGAAAATCATTGATCCGCTGCCCCCTGCACACTCACTACTGGGGATCGAGCCCAAAACCGGGGCCTGTGTCCTGTCGGGGAATTGAACTGTGACCTCCTGGTTCATAGGTCAAAGCTCAATCACTGCGCCACAGGGCCCAGGCCCATTACTCAATTTTTATTACTGAATCGGGAACATTTTAGGAAGTTAGAATCAGTTAAACTCCAGGCTAAGCCCTAAGTGCATTCCCACTTACACAGCACCTTTGTAATAGCCCCATAAACTTGTAGCTCCACATTCAGATACACTCATGAAATCTAAATGATCTTAAATACAAACAATTTTTAAATCATTAACTGTGTTTCTTGGTTTTCTTTTATAATAACTTTGGCAAGAGCTCTTTCTAAAAAACATTTGCAAAATGATTCTAGGTTATAATGGTAACGAAAATCAGAGGCACTATTTGATTCTTACCCAATTTCTTAAGTGAGTATTGAATTTCAAAGTAGTTTTGAAAAAACTCAAGAAGCTTCACAGTTGTTTCCAAGGCATGGTGAACTTGACCAATCTTTTCTGGAACAGAATATATAGAAACCTAGAAGGAAACATTATGTATGATGTAAGGCCAGGTATAATTACTTATTCAGGTGAACACTGTCAAGATTGGCATATGCAAAACTACAGAGTTGCAACATTTTTCAGGACAAAAATTCTTGCTTACAGTTCTCACAGAGTTTAGCAAATCACTTCCAGGCATACAATGATGTTAAAAACAAAAAACAAAAAACACACACCAAATCTTAACAATTCCTTTTTAAAACAGTTAATATAACATCTAAAATAAACTATTTGGGGTCAGATTACAGCAATTTATAAGCATTTGCCCATTTAATTTTACAATACTCTGTTCTTCTTCCCCATTACCATTACCTATAGTTACCCTCCCTTGCTTATGAGCTATCAAGATTGTGAATTAAAGGACAAAACCAAACTTTAACTCTTTTGACACCTATCACAGTTCCTGGCATCGAGCAGGCAGGCACTCAACACAGAGGATCGCATCTTAAGAGGGAGTTAGTTCTAAAATAAACACATACGGCAGAAATTGCACATTTGTTGAACTTATCCTAGAAAAAAAAAACAACTATAAACCAACACACACTCTTTCAGTACGGCACAGCCAGTTTTCCTTCCAGCCTTGGGAGGGCTTGTTTTTTTCCAGTTGTATAAAAAAATAGGCCACATTGTATAAAAAAATAATCACGCCCAGAAGAGTGAAACACTCCATGAGTGGCACATAGTAACTAAAGCCAACTGAAGGGGATGATAAATTCATGCCCCCATTCCCCATTCACTCCAGGGCATGTGCTTGCTCAGGGGGATGGCAGATGCAATCGTCCACATTACTTAAATTGTTATTCTTTCTCTCTTTTTCTAAGTGCATAAGTTAAACACATAGATGTGACTAACTGTAAACATATTATTCAATAAATATCAAAAGACAAAATGTAAACCATTATGTTAAAAGCAATGGGTCTTTTAAAAGCAATATTTACTGTTTTTTAATTGATTGGGGGGAAAAAACCCAAAAAACCTCTATACTCTCCTGGAAAAGGGAATATGGACAAGACATGGCAGAAAATAAAAACCTCAAAATAAAGATTTCAATAGTGGGAAATGGGGACTTTAAATAATTCATCATTTGGTGAACTCTCACTTTAAATTGATTTTAGTCTCCCATTAAAGGACTAGGTCAAATAGATTTCAGCTGTAAGTCCCTTTATATGGGACTTCAGTCTATAGAACCTTATGCGTTAATCACGGAAACATGGGGGACACATGGCATCAAATGTACAGGTTCTGTAGTTAAGAGTGCCAGGTTCAGGCTCTGCTAGTTGTGTGACTCAGTATCTCGCCAAGTAGCTTCTGCCCTCACAGGCTTCTGTGAGGATTAAATGAGCTAATACATTTATAGAACTTAGAATAGTACCTGACACAATATAAGGGTTTAATAAATGGCAGTTATTATCATTAATACTAATAGAGTAGTAATACAATATATGTGACTAGAACATTAGTGGCAAATTACTGGAAGAATTTAGTGTCTAGAACTAGAGTTAGCCAATTAAAAATGTGTTGCTTTCTGAAGTAACTATGGAAGAAATGTAACCTCCCTCAGCATGTGGCCAAGAGTACTTTACAGGCTCAGCACTCTGCCATCCGCAGCCCTAAGTACAGGGCTGTGACCACAGCTTACTGAATTCAGTCACCACCTGCCAATGGAACTCAAGCTCATGCTGCTGACAGGTGCCCTTTCTGCATCTCCCCCACAACTTCCGAAAAAATAAGTGTTATTGCTAAAAAAATAAAAAAGCCTGACATATTTTTTTAAAGTGTGTTATTATAAATGATTGTACCAAGATCACTTGGAATTTGAGATGTCCTTATTCTCTGTGCCTGTTCTTTTCAGACATACATATTTTATGTTATAATTGATGCAATCATCTAGAAGATGCTTATCCTAATAGAAACATCACCCATATCATCCTGACCTCTTCAGACATCCTTTTGCCAGGCAAGCCATTTGGCCACTTCCATCACTGTAAATGAAAAGCATCTTTCCTCAGAGGGAAAGTAAAGGGGGGGAGGGAAGTTTATATAAAACTGAACTCTGATCAAAAGTTCCACTTAGTCCCATTTCTGGCATACAATAATTAGGAAAAAAGGTACTTTGGTATATTTTAACTTCTTTTCTTTTTCCTTAAAAGAACGTGTGCTATGAGCTCTCAATAGAAATAAATCATCTGGTCCTTATAACTAAGATCAAGCTTATTTTAGGAGCAACAAAAGCAGTGATAAGAAAACAAAAGCAGTGAGAACAAAACGGGCAATTAGTTTAACAAAGAAAGTGTTGACCAGCATTCTGGTCTTGATAAAAGCACTCTAAATACTGCTAAACGGAACTCAACAGCCATTTAGGCCTTAAGATTTAACAACTTAAAACCTTTCTTGCAAGATTTCTTGCTAAAACCTTTAGGAGATTTCTAAAAAACACAACTAAAGACTCAGAGCAAAGTGTTCTTAAACTGAGGAGTAACAGATTTGCTAGATTTAACTTAATCTGTTCCTTAATTTAATAAAAGCAAAAAATAGATAAAACAAAAACAAAAACTAAACTAAACCTCATTCCCCACCCAAAAGGATAATAACATAGCCTGCTCCTAAGAGAATATCAGTTTTCCTAAACAGATGGCTGAACACATAAAAAAGCATATATTCCTTAAAAAAACACACAAAAAAAACCCCCAACAACAAACCCTACACAATAAGAACAGTATCAAGTCTATCCAGAATAACTAATTAGATGGGACTTCAGGAGAATGGTATAAATTATAAACAATGTCCCTGGCTGGTGGAGAGATAGAAATGCTTTAGCAGAAAATTGGAACTAAGCCATTTTCCTGACTATGAATAAATTAAAATTATAACTTCATATGGATATGCTGTTGAAGATTCTGTTTGAATGTTAAATAGTCCACATCTGACTAACCACCACTCAATTTTGATTCTACTAATTAGATCTGCCTATGGTAAAAATAAGTCAGGCAATGGGAAAAATAAAACAAAACAAACACCTCAAGACAAACAGATAAGAGCAGTGTATTTTAAAAACTGGCCTGGAATGTGCTATGTAATTCTGGCATTCCTGAAGTCAGGGAGAGGAACACTGGAGAATGGACAGAAATAACAAAACAAATGTTTCTCTTTCCCTGGGCCTTTGACAACATACTAGTCTCTAGCACTGAACACGAAATATTTAATAATCTACAGCCAACTCTGCCATTTTTAGTTATTTGGTAAGACTGATTAGTAAGCAAAGCCCTACTGCCTTATTCCTGTATCTTGTGAAATAGGCCTAATGTCAAATATTACAAAATAGAAACCATCCTAGACACTGACACATTTTAACATAATAAAACTCTTTTAGAAGACTCCAGTCTGAATTTCTGGTCACCATACCTACAAGAAGTTAAGTCATTTGGTGTGAGAAGCAGCATACTGTGGTGGACAATACAATTCTGACTATCACTTACTGGCTATGTAATTTTGGGTCAACTACTAAACTCTGAGACACTTGTTTCTTCATCAGCAACATAGGGTTAATGCCCCACCCATTAGATTTAGGAAATGAAAAGTATAACTCCATGCGTGTTACTTCATGGGAGGGAAGAAAAAAAGTGGGGAGAAAGAGAGAGAGAAAGAGAGAGAGAGAGAGAGAGAGAAGGGGACAGAGGGAAAAGAAGCCAAGCATGCATACATATTTTGATGTAGGCATTTATCACTCCAAACTTCCCTCTTAGAACTTCTTTTTATGCATTCCATAGGATGTATATACCACATTACAGTATTCTAAATTTGACTATATACTTTGTTAATGAGTTGTACATTTTCATGTTACTAATTAGCATCCTTATATTTCAGCTGGAAGCACTCCTTTTAGCATTTCTTGTAAGGTAGGTCTATCGGGCTCTCTCAGCTTTTGCTTATCTAGGAAAGTCTTTATCTCCATTTCTGAATGATAATTTTGCTGGAAAGAATACTCTTGACTGGCAATTTATTTTTTTAGCACTTTGAACAGATAATATGACTCTCTCCTGACCTCTAATGTTCCTGTTGAGAAACCCAATGATAAACTTATGGAGTTTTCCTTATAAATTACAATGATTTTTAAAATATTTTTTTGATTTTAAGTTTTTCTTTAATTTTTAGTGGTTTTATTACAATGTGTCTTGTCTTTAAACTGAGGTTTTTTTGTTTGTTTGTTTGTTTGTTTTGTAATCTATGAGTTTCATGAACTTGGATATTCAAATCCCTCATTCTGGGAAGCTTTCACAGCTATTATTCCTTCCTTCCTCCCTTTATTTATTTATTTATTAAAAAAGAATTTTTTTAATGTTTAGCATTTTTATTTTTTATTAAGGTATTTATGTGTACATATCTTACAATTGCCCTCCCCTCACTCTCATACATGCCCTCCCTCCCCAGAGTTTTGCGTTCATTGGTGTGTTTATATGCATGCATACATACAAGTCTTTCGGTTGTTCTCTTATCTCCCTCATATCTCCCTCCCCTGCCCGCTGTACTGTTTGTTGCTTTACTGTCTCTGTATCACCATTATTTCTTTAAACAATCTTTCTACCCCCTTCTCTGTCTATTCTTCTTCTGAAAATAATTTGCAAATTCTTTCATTTGATCGTACCATAAAGCACACAGGCTTTCTTCACCTTTTTTCCTGTTTTACTTTGTTCTCCTCTGACTAGATATCAAATTTTCCTATCTTCTTTTTTCTACTTTATCCATTCTGCCTTTCATACTCTCTACTGCATTTTTCATTTCACTCATTACATTTTCCTGCTCTATAATTTCTAATTGGTTCTTTTTTATTAGCTTTAACTTATTTTATTTTTATAGCTTTTCATTTTGCTTGTGTGTTGTTTCCTGATTTCAGTGAATTGTTTTTCTGTGTTTTCTTATAGCTCAATAAGTTTTCTTACAACAGAAAACTTATTTTGGTGTCTTTATTGGGTAATTCATGGATACCCATGTTTTGGACATCAGTTACTGGAAGATTATTGAGCTTTGGAGGTGTCACGTTTCTTTGATTTTTCATGTCCCTTGATGTTTTGTGTAGCTGTCTTCATACTGAAATAGCAGTCAACTCTTCCAATCTTTACTAAATGACATCTCCAATGCATTCAAACTCATATTTTTCCCCCCTCCAATAGTATGCTAGAACTTTTCTGCTGGAAATCTGGACTTCCACAAAGGCTCTCCTATCCAAGAGCAACTGTCTAAGACAGTGATTTTCAACTGGTGTTCTACAGGAATTTTTAAAACATGCAACATCGGACTACTTAGTCAGGGGCACTGACCTCTTTTCCCTTAGATTGCCAAATTTAAAAAAAAAAAATGACAACAGACAAAACAATAATAGTTGTTCAGTGTGAATAAATAAAAATTATACCTATTTTTTGTCAGGTTGGCAAAAATATATTTTTTGGTGTGCCACAGATTTTAGTAATCATTTTATATGTTCCACGAGATGAAAAAGGTTTAAAATCACTGGTCTAAGGCAGTTTTTGAAATGCTCCCAAACTACGGCCCAGGAAGCTGGAACCATTTCACAGGCCACTACAGGGTCCACAAGCAGGACCAAGGTCTGTGTGCTTACTCGCTGATGCACAGGTAGGCAACTTCTCCAGGTCCCGTGGCACGTGGTGCTGGGTCCCACAGCTGCCACAAAGGCATCTCTTCCATGGATGGATGTCAAATAGTTGCTGGGGCAGAGAGGTGGCCATAAATGAAGAACATCTTATTTAGCCACCAAACTGTCCTCTAATTTTAATTTAATCTACATAGTCACACTAAGCTGGTAACCACCATAGCGTACAACACAATTCTAGAAGCTTTATTATACATTCAGTTATATGTGCAACATATAGTTTAGTTTTGTATAATTACTTATTAATTATTGTAATGTTTACCACATGAACAACTATAAACCTACTTTTGCCCATCTTGTATATTGCCTTACTGGGATTTACTTGTAAAAGTAAAATCAAAAGAAATTCAAAAATTATTGACTTTCAGGTATTCAATTGATAACAGTAAACAACTATGCAAAAAGTAACAATTCTGAATTGTAAGATGTCAGAGTTGTGATCCAAAACCTTGTTATCCTCCATAAAGCAGTTACCAGAAATAAAGAATTCCTCTCAACTCTTTCAAGACCAATACCATAACAACATACCAGGGTTCCATTTATGTCCTGACTCAGATTCTTCATCTCCCCCACAATGAAAGCAACCAGGTAAGTGCTCATCTTCACGCTTTCAAAAAATTCATCCTGAATAAGTCCATCTTGCATGGTATCCGATGACTTCTACAAGCCAAGGGGAAAAGATGACAGTTCTATAACTATGGGAATAAATGTCAGTGACAAATAAACTGAGAAACTAAAAATTCAAGTAGGAAATAAACAGCAAACATGTTAGCATATTTTAATCTGTCTGGACTGGTTTCTAAACTAATGACCCTTAGTCTCAGTCTGTTCTACCATCCTTCATCATGAGGATATATTAATTACAGTGAAAATACTTAAGGAGTTTTTAGTTTCAAAATATGACTTTAAGAACAAACAACAACAACAAAGATGGCTTTAAATAAATATAAGTTAGAGATAATAAGTAACATTGGCTCTGATTCTCTCCTTCAAAACAACATCAATACTAAGTGAAATAAGTCAGTCAGAGAAAAATAAATATCACATGATCTCACTCATTTGTGGATTATAATGAACAACATAACTGATATACAAAATTAGATCCAGAGACAGAGAAGCATCAATCAGATGCTCAAACCTAAGAGGGAAGGTAGGAGAGGGTGGGTAAGAGGGAGAGATCAACCAAAAGACTTGAATGCATGCATATAAGCATAACCAATGGACAAAGACAGCAGGGGAGGTCAGGGCATGCATGGGAGTGGGGTGGAGGCAATGGGGGGATATGGACACATATGTAATACCTTAATCAATAAAAAAAAGAATTAAAAAAACATCAAAACCAAAATCCTAGCCGAAACCGGTTTGGCTCAGTGGATAGAGTATCGGCCTGCGGACTGGAAGAACCGGGTTCAATTCCGGTCAAGGGCATGAACCTTGGTTATGGGCACATCCCCAGTAGGGGGTGTTCAGGAGGCAGCTGATCAATGATTCTCTCTCATCGATGTTTCTAACTCTATCCCTCTCTCTTCCTCTCTGTGAAAAATCAATAAAATATATTTAAAAAAAAAAAAAAACACCAAAATCCTTCTTTATAATCTAGCATGCTCCTCTCTATTGCTACAAATAAACATTAAAGAAGGAGCTAAAGCTGGGATATCACTACAAAATGATGCCATTGTAATAACCTGGTTATAATTTAACAGGAAAGGAGTAAAAGGGAAGACTAGATATAGGCATACCATTTATACAGCTTTACCAAAGAGTTGCATTGAATGAACACTCTAAGTCAGTTCCCTGCTGACTGATGGGGGAAGGGTCTAGACAAAAGCAATTTAGACACAGGCCCAATAAGGGCTGAGAGATATGAGAAAGTGCCTGCTTATCAATCACACCTGGAAACAGGTAGTTGGACAGAATGGGTGTGACCACTGCAATCAAGCAAAATCTAAAAAACTTCCAAACAAAGGAAGTTAACTCTCTAGGCTCCAGGGCACAGGACCCTCTTGGGACTTCTGCTGAAGGGGGGTGCGCTCTCCTGTGCTTGCAAGATGCATGGCCATGCTGCTCTCCACACATGGACTAATAGACTTTAATCTGGCTGGAATGCTGAACCTCACGTGGCTGCAACATGGAACAGAAACTTTGGACACTGACCTTGTTTCTGGCTTTGCTAAACTCTCAGTTGCTCTATTTTCAGGACTGGCTTGGGGAAAATGGGACATTGGAACCAGAGAGATGTAACTCCATGCCAATAAAATCTTTCACATCCCATCCTCCCATCGAGACTTCTGAAAATGCTTCTTTCAGTAGCATCCCAAGAGCTTCATTCCCACCTAAGTCTGGAAAGTCTGGCCCTAATCCTCTGGCATCAAAATGATTTTCAGAAAGTACCATGTAATGACCCCAAGAAGGTTTAGTGGGATCAAAGTTATTAGAGAAGTCTGTAGTAGCCACAAGACGAAGGAATGAAGGCAACCTTATAGGATTTTCTGATTATGAATTGCAATATGTTTTGGAATACTAGGCAAGCAGGCATTCCACCTCTTTCAGAGAAAGATTAAGGTGAAGAGAATGTCTGGGAGTGGAGTTGTTGAAGTAACTTCCCTGTTGAAGGACAGAGCATGTCCTCTCTGGCCTACAAAGGCTCAGTCCAGGGTTTGTTGAATGTAATTGTTCCTCTCCACTAGCCCTATGGGCTCTGAGAGGCTCCTATCAGGCTGCACACAGCCCCTCAGGTGTCAACAAAAGGACCCCCTACATTCTATTTGGCATAAAAATAATTCTGCTTGGTTTTAATCTCATTGCCTCCCACACAGAGCTCACATACAAGAAAGTAATATTTACATGTTAAACCTCCATGTTACAATACGGACTTTTAAATAACTAATAAAACATCCAGGTCAATCATGATTCAACACTATCAAATATCATTGTTTAGAATAGCAAATATACCATATCTCGGAAAATATCACTCTGATCTTCAGTTCACAGTATTAATCATTTTGTACATCATTAGTACATAGTACACACTTCACATTTCATGCCCATACATTCCATACCCAGCAGGTCTTTCTCTTTCCTCAAGTGCTCATTGGGCTGACTTCTCAGTTGATTCCAACATATATTTTAACTTTTATGTATGTATTTTAAGAAAGAATAAGAATGTATGATGTTTCAATCATTCTCAACAATCTGATAAGGAGGAATTCAAGTCTTCTCAACAAAGAAAGAGATCCACTCAAAAAGTTTATAATCAAGAACCAGAACAGTACCTTAGGCATATTTGATAAAGCAGTGTAGTTCTCCTCTCTTATGATCTTGATGGTATAAGTAGCTTTAAATGCTGGCTCATCAAAACAAGGAAAAGCAGATCTTGCTGCCAGGGGTTCAAATTGAGTTGCTGCAAAGTACCTAAATCAAATGCAAATTCATCCAATAGTTATTGAGCAAGTACTTATTCAAGGTACCTTGCCAAGGACTAGGGATACTAAGATAAACATGGTACAACCCTACTTATTAAAGGATCCACAATTAACTGGGAGGGGCAGAGGTTATATGATGAACAAAAACTTGTCAGGCTGCAAATCATGTCATAACAGTGAAAACAAAGCACTGGAAACAAAGGGTAGGGAATAGATTGTGACTAGCAGTTGAGACATTGTAAGGAAACTGGTGACAAAATCTGAAGAAGGCATTTAAAAAATAAGAAATATTTGAAAAGGTAGAGAAGGGAAGAAAGTACAATCTGGAAAGAATGGGAAGCACAACAAAAGGGCAGTATGTGTTCAGGGACTAAAGATGGTTGTCCTGCCAGGCCAGCGTGGCTCAGTGCTTGAATGTCGATTTAAGAACCAGGAGGTCACGGGATTACTGGTCAGGGCATATGGCCGGGCTGTGGGCTCGATCCCCAGAATGGAAAATGCAATGCAAGTGGCAGCCTGTCAATGATTCTCTCTCATCATTGCTATTTTTCTCTTTCTCTTTCTCTTTCTCTCTCTCTCTCTCTCTCTCTCTCTCTCTCTCTCTCTCTCTCTCTCTCTCTCTCTCTCTCTCTCTCTCTCTCTCTCCCTCCCTCCCTCCCTCCCTCCCTCCCTCCCTCCCCCTCTCTCTGAATAAGTAAACTTGCAACTTGCACTCTCAGGAAGACTGAAAAAAACCAGTTGTCCTATAGTATGTTTGTTTCCTTTACTCTCTTCAGAAATGAATTAACATTTTCCTCTCCCTCTTAGAACACAGCAACAGCACTTGAGAATTTAACTCATCTAAAGATTGGGAGTAAAGCAAGTTTAAAAGAAAAACTTGAAAAAGAGAAATGCAAGTATTCAATTAAGCAGCGGAATAAAACATTTGGGGAATCATCCAAACATGGCTGTAGAATAATCAGGGCAAGTGTGGCCCTGGTGTGCGTATTTCAGGTACCAGTTATTATGTACGTATACAACTGCCACTTTAGACACGATAGCCTCACTTGCTTAGGGCTAAATTTCTACTGTTAAAAATATATTTTATTGATTTTTCTTACAGAGAAGAAGGGAGAGAGATAGAGAGCTAGAAACGTCGATGAGAGAGAAACATAGACTAGCTGCCTCTTGCACACCCCCTACCGGGGATGTGCCCGCAACCAAGGTACATGCCCCTGACCGGAATGGAACCTGGGATCTTTCAGTCCGAAGACGGATGCTCTACCGCTGAGCCAAACCGGCTTCGGCTAAATTTCCACTTTTAAAAGGTAAGTAGAAAAGAGTGTGGGATTTGTAGTTAGAAGATATAAACTCTTCAATTTACCACCCCTCTGACATGAGGCAAATCAATGACTATGTCTCAATTTCCTTATTTATCAAATTGAGGACTGAGATAGGATCCCCAGACAAACACCTAGGTTTTGTTGTTGTTGTTTTGTTTTGTTTTGAGAATTAAATAAAACTTTTTATAATAAAAACTATTGGTATGCTATAAAGTCCTACATAAATATTTATTTATTATAAATGCTAGATAACTCTTCTTTCACAAATTATTGTACTTTCTTTCTGTTAAGGATTTGCCCAAATAATTGTTTCTATTGGGTAAACTGTAAAAAAAGATAACAATCAACTTAAACTTGAAACCATTTAAATATATTACATTTCTAACATTACATGTAATTCTAACATTCTTAACCAGTTAACAAAGATTTTGGAGGAAGGCCATAGGGGGATAAAGTTTGATAATAGCCATAATATTTGTTTGATGATAGCCATACTATTCATATAAGAGTCTACCTGGACCATTACTTTGGATAAAACTTGGATCATAATATGCTAAGACAAATAAAATCTTAAATTATTGTTAAAAGAGATGTAATAATAACTATTACACATAAAAGTCCCTTTGAGAAGGCTGCTGTTTGATGATATTTATAATCTATCTTACTTATGTTAAGTACCTTAAAGCTTATTTTTGTATTAGTGATTGCATTTGCTTTTAGAAATACTAGTTGCAATTTATTACCTATAATAGTGCTGAAGGCAATTACGAATTAGCTGGAGGTCAGGTAAGAGAACTCAAAGCACTGGGGATGAAATGGATAAAGGAAAGGAGTGTGAACTAGGGAGGCAGTACAACACAGTGGTCAAGAATGTGGCCTCAGCACAGCCCGTGGTGCTCAGTGGTTGAGCACTGACCCATGAACCAGGAGGTCACATTTCGATTTCTGGTCAGGGTACATGCCAGAAACTGGGGTTGCAGGTGCAGTCCCCAGTAGGGAGCCTGCAGGAGACAGCTAATTGATGTTTCTCTCTCTTCCTCTCTCTGAGGTCAATTAAAATAATAATAATGCCTCTGAGCTAAAACTGCCTTGGGTTTGAGTTTCCCCTCTGCTACTTGCTAGCCATAAATTGTTAAATGAGTTACTCTATGTGCCTCTGCCTCCTCATCCATAAAATAAATAAAATATTGCTATCCTGCTCTTAGTGGGTTTAATAGGATAAACAACTAAAGATATAAAATGCTTGGAAAAGCTTCTAGCACTTCAATTTTCAGTAAATATGGGCTATTGTTATCAATGGAATTCAGGAAAGTGCTCATGAAGTTCACTATGGCTATGAAAAAACAAGGGCCAGATCTTGAACTAAATCATGTTAGAAATGAGAAACTGCTAATGGTTCCTAACATTATCAGATTTGTATTTCTAAAAATACGAGTCTGACAACACTGAAGAAGATGGGAGAAAAAAGGAGAGAGGAAAGTGTGGTAAGATTAGAAGCCAGGAGATCAGTTAAGATGTTTCAAGAGTTTAAATAAAAAAAACACTGATAGATTGAACGACAAAGAACTAACACACATCCCCAACTTAAATTTGTTTACTAGTTTCTTTAGCATCAGTTTGTTTTCTAGACCTTAAGTCTAACACCAACAACATCTAGATTTACTGACCATTTTCACCTCTTAGATGACACCGGTAAGCTTCTTTTATCCCTAGCAGTGTCAATACATGTTTGGCATTTACATATACTCTGATTTTCCAATCAATAAGAAATATATCTCTTACTTTACCTACTTGTTTAAATATTTATTATTCTTAAACCTCAGAGGGGATAAAAAGTACAAAAAATCTTCTGTAATATAACTATACAAAATTAGAAGTGGGAAAAAGACCCCAAAATTGCTTTAAATTATATTTTTCAGATATCTTCATGGGTATAAATAATCTGCTAAACTTTTATTTTGCGTTAAGATATGCATTCTTGTGGGGCACTCATTTTATCTAACCAAGTAGGTTAATCAATTTATATATTTTTAGTAACAGCAGAGTTTCACAGACTAATTTAAGATTTTAAAATACTATTTTTAATACTCTATTTCTTAATTTTAAGGAACTGTGTTCCATTTTTTTAGCATTTTCCACACCTCAATCCAGCCATAGCAAGAGTCAAGTGGCCATACCACAAATCATCTTATTCTGCCACATAATATTTTCCCTCTCATTACATAGTAGCTGACACTATGGGACTCCTACTCCAAGGGCAATATCTACTTGGAAGAGATGATAAAAGATTTGCCTTGTAGGTTTGTTTGCACAGTAAGAACACTTTTTAAATGTATATCCTACAATTCCTAGAATGATAGAGATTACGGAAGAAGTACAGCAAAGAAGCTTGAGCTACCATTGCAATTATAAACTTGCTTTTAATGTCACATCCCATGAAGAGTCAGCATGCCATTTATTTTAAAGGCATTACATAAAAAGAGAAGAATTACTTATCAGAATAGGGCTACTTTTGTGTCTTTCCCCATTTAAGAAAGATCAAAAATTTTTCTCAAATAGATTTTAAATATTCATTTCTATTTTTCAGAATTACACCAGCATACATTAGCCAAATGGCATTAGTAATTCACATGCTGGTTTACAAAAAATATGACACAATGCTCCAACTGAGTGAGGCAGATATAACAAGGACTTTGAGCACGTAAGAAAATTGACATTATTGCTACTTTAAGAATAACGAGTATGCAGTGTACACTTTACCTTTCTGGAAATTCAAACTACATGCTATCAATACCAAGATTAAAGTGCAAAATACATGGTCTAAATAGAGAGCTGAATACTTTTATGTTTGAGTCACTTTAAAAAAAATATATATTTTTGTATTAATTTCAGAGAGGAAAGGAGAGTGAGAGAGAGATAGAAACATCAATAATGAGAATCATTGATCAGCTGCCTCCTGCATGCCCCCTACTGGGCATGTGCACTGACCCGGAATCAAACTGTGACTTCCTGATTCATAGGTCAATGCTCAGCCTGTAAGCAACACCTGGCCAGGCTTGAGTCACTTTAAAAAAAACACACAAATTAAGTCTCTCCTAGATTAAAAAACAAACAAACAACAACAACAACAACAACAACAAAACTGTCAAATTCAAAATAGCCACTGGCATTAAAAACAAAAGACAGCAAAGATTAAGGACACTAAAAATGACATATGTAACCACACACATCTTAACACCCTCTCCCGCATATCACTGCCTCCTAAAAGTTCCACGTATAAGGAAAATAGGTCTTAAAGAATAATCCATACTCATCTTTACTCTGCTTCCCTCAGAGATTCTATAAGGCAAGAGATAACTACATTCATCTTATTCCATATAATAAAGAGGTAATATGCAAATTAACCCTCATCTGCAGCATGGCCAGGTACTAAAAAATTACCACAGAATATTTCTAACCATTAAGTGTTCATTAAGAGTTGAAATTTTTTTTTATTCAATTAAAGCAATATTTGCTATCAACTAGACTCCCAAACACAGTAAACTATCAAAACAAAACTTTGTCACAGAAATTGGGGTGCTATAGGAAGTTTAGGAGATTAAATTCCCAAAGCAGGATGTTATAACATGCTGCAGATGAGTTGCTTAAATTTGCCTTTTCATTTTAAAATGTTGCATATGACCAGGCTGGCAGGGGCTTAGTGAGGAACAACCAAACGAATGAACAGCAGGCTGCATGGGGTGACCAGGCTGGCAGGGGATTAGTGAGGGATGACCAAACAACTGAACAGCAGGCTATGTGGGGCAACCAGGCCAGCGGGGAGGGGGAGGATGGCAATTGGGGTGATCAGGCCAAGAGGGGGGGACAGTTGGGGCAACAGACCAGCAAGGGAGGCAGTTAGGAGCAACCAGGCTGGCAGAGGAGGGCAGTTGGGGACAACCAGACTGGTAGGGGGGACAGTAAGAGGCAACCAGGTTGGCATGGGGGACAGTTGGGGACAATTAGGCTTTTGGGGGCAATTAGGCTGCCAGGGGAAGCAGTTCGGGGTGACTAGGTTGGGGGGGCAGTTCGGGGTGACCAGGCAGTTAGAGGGGGTAAGTTGGGGGCGACCAGACCAGCAGGGGCGGGGGAGAGGGGGCAGTAAGGGGTGACCAGGCCAGTAGGGGGAGGGGAAAGTTAGGAGCGACTAGGCCAGCAGGGACGGGGCAGTTGGAGGTGACCTAGCTGGCGGGGGGGGGGGGGGGGGGGTAGGGGGGGTGGGGGGTAGTACTTAGGGGCGATCAGCCCAGCATGCAGAGACAGTGAGGGGCAATCAAGCCAGAGGGGGAGGCAGTTAGGGGCGACCAGGCAGGCAGGTGAGTGATTAGGAGCCAGCACTCTGGGATTTTTAGAGGGATGTCCTGGATTGGAGAAGGTGCAGGCTGAGCTGAGGAGCACCAGGCCTCTAGTAATATATATATATATTTTAAAAAACTCAAAAAATGTATGTTTTGTGATAAAGACTGTAATAGGTATAATCTTTATCCATTTCCTTCCATTAGCATGTCCTCAACCACACCACGATATATATGTTCAAAGTTTTGACTAATAAAGAAAAAGCACATTTTTCCAAGTCACCATTCTGCTCTTTCACACATAACATCCTAAATGTTAAAGAATTGTAGTTACTGTCTCTGGGGTGGACAAAGGAATCCATATTGCAGAAGTCTCACAGAGCAAAGAAACAGATTTATTTAAGAGGGCTACGTACTTTTTCGTATTATGTTCATCTGTGTAAGAGAGTCCATAAAACCCATAGTAAGAGCTAGATATATTAGCTGAGTACTCTATCTTCAAGGTATAATTTTGCCCCTTAAGAAGGGCTTCCGGGGCAACGATGGCGATTTGTTCATGAGATGGATATTCCAGAACTTCAACTTGTTTTTCTTGGCTTGAAACTGCTGACATAAAGGTCACTCTTGAAATGTTATGGCCTGTGCTGTGAAGAACGATATTCCATGTGGCCTGGAGAGCCTGAAGCGAAATCGTCACAGAACCCTTGAATGTCATTGTGGTCAGGTTTGGGTGCAGGTTCAGTTCATAGTGCAGAGGCAGAATGGCAGTGGGAAGCCTGACTTGCGCCCATGGAAACAGCTTCCCATTGGTTGCGAATGGCTGAATGAGCCCCATTGATTGGTTTTTCTTGTGGCAGCCTTCTTTGGTAAAGGTACATCTGGGCAGTAGATAAATCACCATTATTACAGAAATGGCAAGTAAAATGACAAAAGCACAGACCAGCATGGTCCTTGCAGAGGGCACTGAACAAGTCCCATCTGAGCTCTGCCTGTAGCCGGCTGCACTGTTCCGAAGGCCTGAGCTTCTGTTCATAAAGGACATGCCCAGCAGCTTGGCAGACGACTCATAATCCTCTTCCTCCTCATCCATCTCATGCTCACCCAGACCCCGCACCAGCAGTCGTGAACCCCGGGGCTCATATTCCACCTCGTCCGGCTCTAAAGGATGTAAACAAGGCTCTTTGGCTAAATCCACCACATCTGGCTCTTCCTCAAACATGCTGTTTTCAATCATATTCCTGGGGAGTGGAAGCCGATCTAAAAAACCAAAACATAAGGACAAGGCACAGAGTTAGGAAGAAAAGCTCATAATAAAATGTCTACTAGCAAAACTGCATTAAATCTAAGAATTTTTTTTTATCACTAAGATTTATTTCCATCTCAGAGCTACTGAACTAATAAATAAGATGCTGTAATTTTCTTGTATCCATTACAAATTCAAGCATAAATAAAAGTATATTAGTCATGAAACAAGAAAGCTAAATACAAAGGTTAGTATATTTAAAAAAAAAAAAAAAAAAAAAAAAAAGGTAACTGAGATTAAATACTAATTTCCTTAATACACTCCTGCCCAACAACCTGGGCCCTTGTCCTGAACTTCAGAGGGCCCTGCTTTGGCCTGATTCTGGCTGTGCATGCTCCCCAGGAGGAGGAGTCAATAAGATCAAAGAGATGTGCCCTGCCCACCCACAGTCCATGTCCCCCTTCTGGGGTACTGGCACCAGAACCCAGAATCCCTGCTTTTAGGGTCTCTGTGGGTCTCTTCTCTGGCTCCCTAAGGAGAATCACTGGTGTGCTCTATACAGGCTTAAATAAAAGCTAAGCAAAAGGCTAGGTTATTTTTTCCTCCTGGAAGAAGGATGTTCCTGTACCACAGCAAACTGAAAGTAGTAAATTATATAGAAAATTTCCATAATCAAGATATACTAAAAATAAAACAAAAGAATAGTAAAAATCAGATAAAACTATAATCCAACCTATTTTCTCATGCTTCAAGAGCATTCAGAAGTACAACATATACCCTTCTGTAACAACCATTTTATATTTGCTCTGAGTATAAGTGGGCCTTTTACTTGGCAGTGGTAAAAGCTTTTATAAACTACAAAGAACCACAGTCTCCAACTTGCTAAAAGTCACTGAGGAAAAAAAAAAAAAAAGACCCAAAAAGTAGATGAGTAAATAATCACACATGTAGATCAATAATTCCTAGGATCAGATCATTTAATGTTCTATTTTTTGTTGTTGTTAGAATCCTTACCCAAGGATATTCTTCCATGGATTTTTAGGGAGGGTAGCAGAGAGAGGGAAAGGCAGAGAGAAACACTGATGAGAGAGAAACACATCGACTGGTTGTCTCCTGTTCGAGTGTAGACCAAGTCCTAGGCCTGGGAGGAACCTGCCACCAAGGTACATGCCCTTGACCAGAACTGAACCTGCAACCCTTTGGGCAGGCTGACTCTCTATCCACTGAGCCAAACCGGCCAGGGCCATTCAATGTTCTTTACTTAAGAATCGCACAAATTTAGCTTTTAAGGGATCTCAAAAGTTTGATCATTGAAACTCCCATTAAACTTTCTTACAAGGTACTTTATATCATTTATATCATTTATATCATTTCTAACTCTCACACAATTCTATAAAATGGAAAGTATTATACCTATTTCAGACAAGAAGGGAAAAATGAAAGAAGGATTGGGTTAATTTATCTTCATACCGTCACAGTTATTTAGTCACAAAACTAAAACTGGAGCTCAATTCTAAAAAACTGATACCAAATTTTAGATTCTTTCCATTATAATGTTGCATTCCCTTTCTCAACTAATTCAATAAGTGATGAGAGCTTTATATAAATTATTTATTTTGTGTTTGTCAATGAAGTTGCTAAAAGTATTATTTCTCTATCAGCAGAGCAAACTTACATAAAATTACTTAATATCTAGCTTAATAGAAATGCCATGTTTTTTGTGCTATTTAACAAACACTAAATAACTAAACAGTGGCAACTCATGAAACAAAGTATCAATAAATGTTAAGATAAAATGTACAGTCTTGCTGCTCAAAACTGTAGCTTTTTAGAAGAGCAGACTCTCAACTCCCTTCCCTCAATCTGAATTTTAATAAATCCTCAGGTGATTTAAGTGCCCATAAATTTGAGAAGCACTGGTGTAAGCCCTCTCCATGATCAGCTAGACACTAGTCACTCCATGCCTGGCTGTGCTCCTGCCATCCCATCTACTCTGAGAAATAGCTATGCTGCTATTTCATGCTGTTTTCCACATGCCTTCTCTCCTCTCTGTTCCCTTCACCTACAATGTCATCATTTCTCCTTTCCATCCAATCCACCTGATGAACACCTGCTATTCCATAACTCAGCTGAACTTGCTACAATGTAAATTAACTAAAGTTATTTATTTTTTCTTTATTATCTTTTAAAATACATATTCTTTCACTTTATCTCACCCCCCCCCCCTTTTTTTTTTCCTTTGGGAGCATAGAAATACCAATTAGGTTGCCTTTTCCTCCCTCCTCTCCATCCTACAAAAGCTATGCTAGTTTAAGTTTTCTTTTAATAAAACTGTTAATCACTCTCTGGGTGTGGGTTTAGCAAGTTGCCACCTATCCACTTCCTGTGAATGATCTGAAAATGAAAGAAGGGCGATAGTTATAACATCCTGCTTTGGGAATTTAATCTCCTAAACTTCCTATAGCACCCCAATTTCTGTGACAAAGTTTTGTTTTGATAGTTTACAAACACTCCGTGTTTGGGAGTCTAGTTGATAGCAAATATTGCTTTAATTGAATTAAAAAAAATTTCAACTCTTAATGAACACTTAATGGTTAGAAATATTCTGTGGTAATTTTTTAGTACCTGGCCATGCTGCAGATGAGTTGCTTAAATTTGCCTTTTCATTTTAAAATGTCTAAAAGACCTTCTTTTATGATTTTTTTAAAAATCTCACATAGGAAAACTATGTTCTCTTAGGCCTCTGTCCATGTGTTTGGTTCTGTGTCGGACCTACCTGATATAGACAATAATGAGGGTTTGGGCAGTATGGTTTCATTTAATAAATTTCTAAACTAACTCTAGGTATGATTTCAGCTTATATTTAGAGCATTTCCATCCCTGAATTCATCTATCCCTCTAAAACTTCATTTTTGAGTTTTTAGATTCCTAAGCCATGCCCTGTTTAAAGCCAAGGGATAATCCACAGTCTGACCATTTTAGTATCTCCTGTCCACAATTCATCAACTTCAAAACTTTGACAAGGACTTAGTCATATGCCTGTCAAAATCAGGTTAACTTTATTATTTATCACTCAGTCAGATTAATTCATATACAGAATTTTAATATTTCATAAATGGAACAAATCAACCCACCTGCTGTATTTTATTGCCCATTAGAAACAAACTTTTGTATATGTGTGCAATCATATCAAGTTAAATATATCAAATGAGGGGAAATCCTGTTATTACAGGTAGCCCATGAAAGCTATACTTTAAGTTTATTTAAGAAAATGTTGCTTTAGATTCTGAAGTTGGTAAACTTTGATCTTAGCATTAAGCTATAATGTAACACATGACTACCCCTTGCTCACAAGGGATTTATTCACATTGAAAGAAGGCAGGAAATTTTCTAAAACCTCTTAAATCCACATATTGAAGCTCTCTATAAGCCAAAAGCAAAGAATCTCCTAGTTGAAATATTTCAGTTTTAAATAACATAGGCTCATGTGGTTATAATCTGAGAAAGCTGAAGACATTTCTTTTCATCAGATACCAAGGACTGGTGTTCCTCAATGTTGTCTATGGACCAGCGCCAATTGGCAAATTGTTTATCTGTCTGTGACAGGATACACATAGAAAATTAGTATTTGAAAATGTCTACAGAAATTTCAGATTTATATCTGTCAAATTCAAAATGAAACATATTTTTCATGTCTTTTTTCATTTTAGTTTTCTCCAAGGATTCATTTTTATATGCTTACAAAATTTCTGCAACAGATTAAAAACAAAAAAGAAAGCTTAGTTCTTCATGTTAGATAATGTGAGCAGCAATGAGTTGGTTTGTCACAATAAAGGGAATCCAGGTCAATATAAAGTTTTCAAACTGTCACAGTAGCAGTGGACAATGAGTCATGTTGAAGGAGAATTACACAGGAATTGTTTGACACCAGCTTGGGCTGGATGGGCCTGTAGGGTGAAGAGGTAGAGGTAAGTGTATGTCAATTCTCTATACAATTCTGGCTTGGATAACTAAAAGAAGAAATGCCATTCACTGAGATTGGAAAATACAGATTTCCATACTCTTTTTTTTTGGGGGGGTGGGGGTAGGGGGTGTTCTTGGGGAGGGGCATTGATAGTGAAAACAGAGTATGAGATGGTATTTGGTATGGGACATGGGACATGACATATTTAATATCTGTCAGATAGCCAAGTGAAGGTATTTGATTAGTAGCATATTATAGAGTTAAAGGCCTAACTATTTTATTTTATTTTATTTTATTTTATTTTATTTTATTTTATTTTATTTGCCTAACTTTAGAGAGAGGTTAAAATCCTGGCTCTTTCACTAAATGACTGATCTCAAACAGGTTACCAAGCATGCTTTAGTTTCACCTTCCTCATCTATAAAGGACTGTTAAAAGTAAAAGTTGAGTAAAGCTATGGCAAACATGGTGAAGAACTTGAATTAAAAAGAGCAAACTTCCAACAGACTTTAATTCCTTCAAATTACCATCATATTTTCAGAGAAAATGAAATGGAGTGTTTTTCCAAATCAATAAGCCAAAAACAATTTTACAAGAATAGGGCTAATAAAAATAAGGCTTCTTGGGCAGATACAAGATTTACTATATTGAATTAGGTAATACAGCAACCAAATTAGGCTCTAAAAATAAAAGATTAGTCTTCTGAGGCCCCACTGACACATTTAAATAGAGCTAAAAACTCCAAGCCTGAGACAGAATTTAAATCTTCTAGATCATCTCCAAATGGAAACTTCATTAAATTTCTGAAGTGATGGCTAATTACCAAAAAAGGTAATTATTTGCCTATGCGCAATCTTCTTTCATCAAAAAGAGATTTTATTTTAAAGACATTTAAGCTTAAAAAGAAAAGAAAAAGATTACAATTTAGAACAAAAGAAGGTGACCTTTTTGAACAGCTCTACTCTGACAAAAAATTCTCTACCCAACCCCAATTCCAATGTTTATGGTTAAGTTACAAGTTTAGATATGTCATCATATCATCAGATGTTT